ACACAGGAAACAGGTTAATGTTTATCATGCTACATGGTGCAACCTTTGCATCAGGCCCCTTGAGGGGTGAAAATTGCTCATACCGGTTTGTTTCTCAAGGCTCCGTATTTGGCACCTCCTGACCACAAAGGCTAACCACAGAGGCTGAGAGCAGCAGGAGGAAGTGTAAAGGCCACCTGGTGGGCTTGCCGTGCCTTAGAGAACAGTGGGCCAGTGGATGCTTGCTGAACTGACTGCTTTTGCTTCAGAGAATAACATTGTAATACGGGGGGGAGGAGGGGACGGGGAGGGAGACGGAGATAGGGGGGTTGTGGAGGGGAAACTAGGAAGGGGGATAACATTTGAAATGTGAATAAATAAAATAACCAATAAAAATGAAAAAAAATATTGTAATAAAGTTAAAGACTGCTTTTATTCTGGATGCTGTGTGCGGCTAGGCAGTATTCATAGAAGAGAAAAGATGTAGTATAGTGAGAATTTTTCTTTAAAAAAAATACAGAAATATATGATATGTTTCATTTGAATGCCAGGTGTAGGAATATGTTCTTGCTTCACAGCAGCTGACTGTGATTTGCTTTGTTCTCTGACAGGGGTGTGGTTTTGCCACCTGCAGATTGTTTCTTTGAATGTGTAACTTTTGTAATTCTGGGAACTTTTCAGAGGGTATATAAATGCTATGGCCCTGAGAGACAGGGTGGGTTGTTGGTTGTTTGCATTTTGTTAAGTAGTCGTGCACAAAGAAACAAGAAAAAAAAGCCAGTTATCCAGATTGTGGAGAACAAATCTGCCCCAAGGTGCTCCCAAGGTGCTCCATGCCCCATAGACTGAAGATGACACAAGGTGCTCCATGCCCCTTAGAGTAAAGATTACATCACCCCTTTCGGACCCCTGACTTTATTCAGGGGTTGTCTTAGCTAGGATTTCCATTGATGTGAACAGACACCATGACCAAGACAACTCTTACAAAGGACAGCATTTAATTGGGGCTGGCTTACAGGTTCAGAGGCTCAGTCCATTATCATCAAAGTGGGAGCACAGCAGTCTGGTGCTGGAGCTGCTGAGGGTTGTGCATCTTAACCAGAGGGCACACAGGAGAAGAGTGCTCCTGCATGGCTAGGAGAGTCTCAAAGCCCTCACCCACATTGACACACTTCCTCCAAGGTCACACCCATTCCAAGAAGGCCACACCTCCTAATAGTGCCATTCCCTAAACCAAGCTTATTCAAAGCATCATAGGGATCTCTTTCTTTTCCTCTCTAACCTTTTTCCTTTTTTCTCTGCTGTCTAGTGTTAGGGGCCTGAAAGGGTAGAAGAAAAGGGGTTTAGGTTGAGAGAAAAAAGAAACCCACAAAGTAGCTAACGTCAGCCACAAACATTCGTATAAATTAAACATAAACTACAATAACTGGTAAATGTATAAATTAAAATTGTTGTGGTGGCTATTCCTGGTTGTCAGCTTGACTATATCTGGAATGAACTACAATCCAGAATTGGAAGGCTCACCTGTGATCCTGATCTTGAGGCTGGGAGATACAAGTTTCTGACCTGGATCTTGGCATGTAGATCTTGAGGCATAGTGGCTATGAATCCCAAGAGACTAAGGCAAGGAGATCCCTGAGTTGAAGTTCATCTGGGACAAAGCAAGTTGCAGATCCAGGCGTGTTGGTACGCACCTTTAATCTGGGCCACACCTTCTGCTGGAGACCTGCATAAGGACACGGGAAGAAGGAAGACCCCTTTTCTTCTTTGCCTGCCTGCCTTGTGGGACTGAGCAACTGCTGGATCCTCAGACTTCCAGTCACAGCTGCTGCTCACCATTGTTGGGGAGTTGACTACAGACTGTGAGTCATCAACAAATTCCCTTACTATATAGAGACTACCCATAAGTTCTGTGACTCTAGAGAACCCTAATACAATCGTCATGCTGAATTTGAAGTAACTCCTATGTTCTACCCAAATAAATCCTGCAATTGTGCTTACTCTGATCCTGATCTAAGATTGGTGTAATTGTGGTCTTTGGCCTTTAAAAAATGCTGTATGCCAAGCCAGGTGGTGGTCATCAATGCCTTTAATCCCAACCCTCCAGAGGCAGAGGCAGGCATATCTATGTGAGTTCAAGGCCAGCCTGGTCTACAAAGAATTCACGACAGTTAGGGCCACATAGAGAAAGAAAAACTGCAGTATTCTCAAGCTTTGGCAATAGCCTGTTCTTGGTCTTAGGTAAATACAGAGGCTGCTATGTAGTGCGTTTGGTTTTGGTTTAGTTTTTTTTTTTTTTTTTTTTTGAGACAGGGTTTTTCTGTGTAGACCTGGCTGTCCTGGAACTCACTCTGTAGACAAGGCTGGCCTTGAACTCACAGAGATCTGCCATTCTCTGCCTCCCAAGTGCTGGGATTAAAGGTTTAATGTGTGCCTTCATGCCAGGCTCTGGTTTTGATTTTGATTTTACAGGGGATTACAGTTAAAAGATGCATCAGTCTCAGAAGTGACTTTGAACTTTGGACTCGAACGCCGCTGAGATTGTGATAGACTATGAGGACCTTTCAAGTTGGACTGAACGCATTGTTTGCATTATGATATGGCTGTAAGTCTATAGGGGCCAGGTGAAATGCGGTGGTTTGGATAAAAATGGCCCACATTAGGCCCATAGAGAGTGGCACTATTAAAAGGTGTGGCCTTGCTGTAGTGGGTGTGGCCTTGCTGTAGTGGGTGTGGCCTTGCTGGAGAGGGGTGTGGCCTTGCTGTAGTGGGTGTGGCCTGGTTGGAGGAGGTGTATAACTAGGGGTGGCCTTTGAGGTTTCAGAATGCCACAGCATTCCCAGTGCCTGTGGATCAGATGTGAGCTCTCAGCTACTGTCCCACATCCATGCCTGCCTGATTGCTCCCATGTTCCCTGCCATGGTCACAGACTCTAAGCTTTTAGGACCATGAACCCCTAATTTAAATGCTGCTTTTTTTTTTTTTAAAGTTACTTTGGTCAGGGTGTCTCACCTCAGCTACTGTAAAGAAACTTAGACATCAGTTTAGATGGTGGTTAAGTTCAAACCCAGGGTTCCATGCATGTTTCTCAGGCACTGCCAACTGCTTGAGAGGACCTGTGTTAGACTTGGAACCTGTCCTGATGTAGCATTATATATGCTCTGGATTTAACTAGCTCTATCTACAAAGACTGTTTCGAAGGGAGATACTCACAGGTGCAGGGAGTTACAGATTCAGGAGAATTGGGGTCAAAGCTGAGTTCAGAGCAGGCCCTAGTCTTACAGTCTCCTCCTTCACTGCAGAAACTTGGTTTCTGAAATCCTGAACCATGTCAGCTTCTCCAAAAGGGAAGCAGGCTCCTAGCACTGCTCACTGAACTCACAGCCTCACTGGCCCAGGACACCCTCAAGACCTTGTCCTAGGGCAGGGATGTGGCTCCAAGCCCAGCAGTTACCTCTCTCTCAGCCAGGGGCACTGAGGCCACCCAGGGCATTGTGGGTAAATGGATGCCACACCAATGGCAGGAATGCTGTGCCCTCCCACACCACACACCAGGAATAGACATGGCCCCCACCATACCACAGATTAGCCATAGAAACCACAGCTCCAAGACATTCTCATAGTGTTGTGAAACTGTCCTCTGAGATAAAACTTCCATCATGAAGGGAAACTCCTTAAGGCACAGGATGTTTTAAGAGAAGGTGAAACATCCTACAGAGAAGCTTCTGCCAAGGAAGCAAACAACTCAGTAGCTTAAGGAGCCAGATTCACTAGGCCCCTTCCTCCCTAAACCTATATAATGGGACGGCTGAGCCCCAGGGGAACAAAGCACAGTAGCCAAGCTGCCTAGCAAGGACCCTGCTAACCTGCAGGTTGTCCAGTGAGCTCCCGGCTCCCAGCTTCCCTGAGCTGTCACTCATGCTGGGGTGGGGATGAGTCACTCAGTCAGTTCTGTTCCTGTAAGTCACCTGACTCATCCTGTGTGGCTTCCGTCCTGGAACCCTGACTAGGGACAGCGAGGGAACTTAGAAAGGACTGGAGCACAGCCATATCTCTGACCTCAACAACCCAGAATCTGTTTCATCACAGGGGAGGGGCAGCTATGTAGGCGGGGTCTGTGGCTGAGCCCTGTAAACATTCCAAAAGAAGCTGCCATTGCTAGTTTCTGTACACAGTCGCTCACATGCACGGAGACTCCCAGGAAGGCGTTGCCATCTCCCTGAGCTCACTCCCACGGCACTGAGGCACTGGAATCCTTGGCATGGTCGAGTCTGTACACTTCACCCAGGCACAGCTCCCTCAGATCCCTACAATAACCCTCATGTTCTTATCAGAAAGAGTGTAAGACTCATTGGTTCACCAAATTGGATGGCGGCATCTGCACTTTTATCTGAGCATAGTTCCACATCCAGATTGAGTAGATGCCTCTTCATGTCTCCCCAGGAATCATGTCTTGCAACTAGTCATGGGGACACAGTTCCACCCACTGTGACACCACACAGCAACAACAGGAACAAGGCTCCACACCACGGAACACTGGTAATAGGCATATGGTTCCAAGACACAGCACATCCTAGCAAACCCCCAACACCCATATACAGTGTTGGATGGGGTTGCTGACGCTAATCCCAGTGCTGGGAGACAGACCAGGCACAGGAGGATCTGGGGCGTGCTGGCAACCAGCTTCCATCCACAGTCAAAAAGGGAAGAAGGCCGAGAGTGGTTCAGTGGAATACTCTATGTCCTCTTCTTGCTTCCTCACGTATACATACACATACACACACCACGCACACACATATACACACACATATATACACATACAGACACACATACACGACACACACAACATACATACACACATATATACACACACATACACACACACACATATACACACCCACCACACACACATACACACACCACACACACATACACACATACACACACACAGATACACACACACACAGATACACACACACACACAGAGCACACATGGACCCCCCCCACATGCACAAAATAAATAAAATAATCTTGTATTTTAATTCCATTGATCATCACAATAAATAATTCACAATTAATGACTGCATGAACACAGTTTACAAAGCACCTTAATATAGTGATTCAGTTCTTCACATAAGACAGCAGGCACTGTGTGTACACACTGACAGATACATACCTGTCCTGGGCAGGGGACCTCAGATGAAGAGGATGGTGAACAGGTTGGATGAGTTCTTGGATTTTTTTTTTTTAAGCAAGCATTAATGTTTTTTGTTTTGCTTTACAAAATCACCAGAGTGACTTCCGTTTAAAAACACATGATTTTAAACATAATTGACTCTGTGTGGCACACTGTGGTCCCCTCTTCAGCTCAGTTTAGACTTCACGACATGGTCAGACACGTCTCTGAGATGTCCAGTCTCTCTGACTCTTCTCCGGTAGGGCCTGATTCTAAAGAATTTGGGATCTGGAAAGTTCCAGTTTATCCTGACAGCTCAGACCAGAAGTCATGGGTCCCCTGTCTCTCTGGCTCTCTCTCTCTCTCTGGAAGACTGTCCAGTCAACCCAGCCCTCAAATACTCACACCTAGGGGACAGCAGGAAAGTGACAGCCCAGAATCACACATGGGTCCCTGCTCTTCCCCAGAGCCACCTATGCAGTGCACTTTTAGTCCTGCCAGGTTGGTGAGTCAATCAGGTGACACCAAGTAATGGTGACAGAACTTTCTAGAAACTCTTCCTATATCAGCTGCCCTTCAGGGGCCTGAGGGAGACTTCAGCAGGGAGCTCCTGCAGTCTGGGGTAGCGTCTTCATGAACGTTGTAGGGCTGAGTCCCTGGTTCCTGCAGCAGGAATTTCTCTGCAAAACACACAGAATTTTATCAAGTACTGAAAATGCTAAGGCTGGGTCCTTCCACTCAATGGGATTCAAAGAACTAAAGGAACCCAGGGTCTGGTGCCCAGGCAGAAAGGGTGGGCCTGCCTGAGGCCAGGTCCCTGCCCCAGCCCCAGCCCGGGGCTTTCCTGACCCATCTTGTTCCACATTCACCACATTTTGCTGAAGAATATTCCACATACTCACCAGCCTCCTCCAGAGTGGTGAAGCACTGGAACCCCTTGAGGTCAGCAGCCAGCAGTGTGCGGAGCACGGGCACCTAGCATGAATACACACTTCAATACAGGTCAAGGAAGCTGGGCGGTGGTGGCGCACGCCTTTAATCTCAGCACTTGGGAGGCAGAGGCAGGCGGATCTCTGAGTTCGAGGCCAGCCTGGTCTACAGAGTGAGTTCCAGGACAGCCATGGCTACACAGAGAAACCCTGTCTTGAAAAACCAAAAAAAAAAAAAGAACCAAAAAACAAAACAAAAAACACGTCAAGGAACCTCTGCTCTGCTATGTGTGGTGGGTGATCTAGTTGGATACTCTGAGTGTTCCAGTGAGTCTGTCTTAGATAGTCTTCCTGGTGTGAACAGACACCATGACCAAGACAACTCTTATAAGGACAAGACATAACTGGGGCTGGCTTACAGGTTCAGAGGTTCAGTCCATTATCACCAACAGGAGAGCACGGCAGCATCCAGGCAGGCACGGTGCTGGTTGAGTTGAGAGTTCTACATCTTCATCTGAAGGCTGCTAGCAGAAGCATGACTTCCAGGCAGCTAAGAGGATGGTCTTAAGCCCACGCCGACAGTGACACACCTACTCCAACAAGGCCACACCTAATAGTGCCACTCCCTGAACCAAGTATATACAAACCATCACAAAGAGGCTAAGGCAGGAGTGTTGTCATGAGTTCAAGTCTAGCTTGCGCCATATATCAGGTGTGAGGCTAGCCAGAGCTGCAGAGTTAAGACTGTCAAAATAAATAAATAAATAAAACAAAACCACGAAAACTAAAACTAAAAAAATTTAATTCCTCAGTGATACCTCTGAGCCATGACTTCATTGTAAGTACTGGTGTCACGTGACATCAGTGTAAGCACCCATGTCACATGACATCATTGTAAGTGCTGGTGTCACATGACATTGTAAGTACCCACGTCAGGGCGCTGCTGGCTGTGGTTCTAACCTGGCAGGCTATCGACCATTTGGATTCATTCTCCTGCGCTCAGTGCCGACCTCCTATGCTGTCTGTGTGCTCAGTGCTGTGAACTTGAGGCCAGGGCTCAGTCCAGGACCGTGCTCATGTCTGCTGTGCTGTGCCTGTGTGCAGAGCCCTCATGCTCATGGATGGAGGCAACGAGGAAGTAAGAGACCGGCCTCTGCAGAAGCAGGGTGCAGTTTAATCAGAACTGTATAGGGTAAAGGTCTCCAAGTGGAGTGCCCAGGGTACTCCAGCTTCATAGGGAGGACAGGGAAGCTTTAGGAAGGAAACGTTTACCCATTGGTGTGCTCTGTGTAGTTTCAAGAATGAAGGATGTCAGCAGATGTTCCCGTTTCTACACTGGCTTTCTGGTCAGTCTCTTGTAACCATGCTGAGTCCGGGCTGAGGTTTGTTGTTTTAAATCATTAACCTTTATGGTCACTGAAGGCTGTTCATTTGTAAGCTCATCTGGCAGGGCCCACCCTTCTCCCTCCTCCCTCATCTCTCCTCCCTCCTCCTTCCTCTGTCCATTCAAGCTGAAGCAAACTGTGATGGTTTGTATGCGCCTGGCTCAGGGAGTGGCACTATTAGGTGTGGCCTTGTTGGAGTAGGTGTGTCACTGTGGGCGTGGGCTTAAGACCATCCTCTTAGGTGCCTGGAAGTCAATATTCTTCTAGCAGTTTCCAGATGAAGATGTAGAACTCTCAGCTCCTCCTGTACCATGCCTGCCTGGATGCTGCCATGCTCCCACCTTGATGATAATGGACTGAACCTCTGAACCTGTAAGCCAGCCCCAGTTAAGTCTTGTCTTTATAAGAGTTGCCTTGGTCATGGTGTCTGTTCACAGCAGTAAAACCTTAAGATACTCCTGCATTCTAGAACTATAGGTAGGTGCAATTATATCTTTCCACATGTATCACATTAGCCTGGGGCCACAGGGAGGCTGTGGACCCTCCTTATAAGGTGGCCTGGCTCTCCTACCTGTAGTCCAACAAAGGCCAGAGTGACACCTTTCTTCTGGAAGTCCTCCAGGAGCTCACCAAGTCCCACGGTCACAGTGTAGTCTATACTGCTGACATGCGTGCACTCCAGAACCGCGCAACGTGGTGGGGATGCTGGGGAGACAGGCCAAGAGTCTGCCACGGGGCAGGCAGAGCCTATGGCTCTGCAGCCATGACAGTGGTGAAAAACATCCATTACAAGACCATTCCCCAGGGGTGTCACCCAGCAACGGAGCCAAGGTGGGAAGAATGGGTATCTGGAGAAAGCTACTTTCTTTTTAGGTTTCTATGAACGTCACTTCTCCAGACAGAGGAACAGAAGCAAACATGGCCCTTACTGAGGCTGTAGGGGAGTCACAGGACTACTGCCTAGCAGGGGCTATCCTTCTGCAGCAGACACTACTCAAAGACACCTGAATCGTGCGTGAAAGCGAGTGATGTCTCCCTGACCACTGGGGCGGGGCCAAGGCTGTGGTGTAGGGTCTCCAGGAGTGTGTGCTCCTCTCTGCTCATCTTGACTGGCTCATATACCTTCCAGTGACCGCTTTGTTATTGCTTCTCTGAGGGCATCAATGGCAGGGAAGTGCAGGCCGCTGGCCGGCTGGAGAACAAGAATTTGTCCCTCTGACACCTGGATTGGAGGTGGGGGAAGAATGTTAGAAGCAGACAGGACAGGATAGTCTTGTAGGCTTCACTCATTACACCAGGAGGGACCCCTCACCCCCACCCAAGCCTAGCATATGAGGTAGAGTAGTAGGAGCAGGAGCCAGCAGGAGAGCCCCCAACACCCCACACTCAGGAGAGCTAGCAAATGCTCTCCCTCAGGAGCACTAATGATAGCAAGCAAGGAGAGAGTGTCTCTACTCTGAGCCTACCTGGGTCTTGGGCCTAGCTACAGAATGCAGGAGAATGAGCAAAGACACCAGGGTCCCAGCCAGGATACCGTACTGGATCTCCCAGAAGGACAGCAGGAATGTCACGCAGAGTGGCAGCAGATCCAGCCCTAGGATGAGTGTTGGTTCAGAGGCAACCCTCACCCCACCCCTGCTCACTGAGCCCCACAGCCCAGTGGCCAGCCATTTAACCTCTCCTGGGGTTCATAGAGGTGGCCAGAGCCCTAAAGCACCCTAGAGAAAGATCTGGTCACAGGAATAGAAGGTGTAGGTTGGGTTTTGTTGTTGTTATGTTTTTGATTTTTTTGTTTGTTTGTTTTTGTTCTTCGAGACAGCATTTCTCTGTATCTCTATATAGTCCAAGCTGTCCTGGAACTCACTCTATAGACCAGGCTGGCCTTGAACTCAGAAATCCACCTGCCCCTGTCTCCCAAGTGCTGGCGTGCGCCACCACTGCCTGGCTCGAAGGTATAGGTTGTAGCTGGCCCCCAGACCAAGGGCAGAGGTAGAGAATGGGGTCCCTATCTACCAGGGTAGGATCTGCCTGGCCCATCCCAGCCCTCCAGCCTCTGATTAAGTGTGGGGGTGGGGAAGCTCATCAGAGAATCCAGGGAAAGGGGACAGAGAGAAGGTGTGTGTTTGTGTGGTGTGTCCATGTGGTATGTCCATGTGGTGTGTGTGTGTCTGTCTCTGTGCATTATGTGTTTGTGCGGTATGTGTGTCTCTCTCTCTGTGTGTGTTATTTTCTGAGTGTGCCTGTGGTGTGGTGTGTATGTCTGTTTGTATGTGGCATGGTGTGTGTGGTGTAGTATGTGTCTGTGGTGTGTAAGTGTGTCTGTGGTGTGGTATGTATGTCTGTATATGTGTATACCTGGCATGGTGTGTGTACATGGTGCGGTATGTGCTTCTGGGTGTGGTGTGTCTGTGGTGTGGTGTGTATGTCTGTGTGTCTGTGTGTGTCTGTGTATTTGTGGCATGATGTGTGTGTGTGTGTTGTGTCTTGTGACTCCAGGGGACCCAGAGGATTTCTTGCCCTGGGCATGAAGTACATGAATTCAGCGTGGAGTTCCACCTCTGATGTGGCGACCCAGACAGGCCCCGCCCTTCATGGAGTCCCTGTTTCCTTGGAGAACATCAATTCCATTCCACTCACCTACACTGGTAGACTTCAAGACTGTCCTAAAGATGAAACCTGGCACACAGAAGACTGGGACACAGAACAACTGACCCCAACTACACCTGATAACTGGCCAACAAGGAGGAAGGGAAACTTTGCTGGACCTGTTAAAGGAACCACTGGGTGAGGGGGCTCAGGCCAGGAGATGGGGAGACTGAGAGACTATTTTATGGGTCACCCATCCGGAGGAGGAGGAAGGTGTGGAGAGGGGAGGACGAGGACTCTGAGTGGAGGAAACTCCGCTCTCTACTCAGTAGCTACCGAGTTTGGCTCAGTTCTGTGTGGGCCGAAGCCCAGTTCCTCTGAGCAGCCACCTCGAGTGTGTCTTCTCCTAAGTTTACCAGAGTGCCACAGCTCCAGCCCACAGTGGGGCCGCAGGCCGGGAGGGATAACAAAAGGTGCCCTTGGCATCCGCAGAAACCACCTCAGAGCCGCCCACTTTGCGTACGTACTCTGAACACGCCAGAGCCTCCTGAAGATCTTGACGTCAAAGATCGGGGCCACAGCCGTGATGATTACAGCAGCCAGTGCAGACTTGGGGATATAGTAGAAGAGTGAGGTCAAGTAGTCCAGAGATAGCAGCACCAGGATACCTGTGGGGGTGGCGGATCATCTGGGGGGCCGGTTCTCACCCAGCCGGCACCCACAGAATGATACAGCCTCATCTGAGGTACGGAGGAGCCTGGTTATCCACTGGACAGTTATGGATCTATACAGACTTAGTAGGAACGCCGTACATGGTCAGAGAACTACGCGTGCCCCTCTGCCGCATTTCCACCACAAGCACCAAAGGTAAAGAAGGGGATGGGGACGGGGTGGGGCTCACCAGTCACCAGGCCTCCTGCCGGGGTACACACGCCTGTCTGGGCATTCACAGCTGTCCTGGAAGGTGACAAGAAGAAACCTGTCAATCCCCCATGGCTGAGAGGAGAGCTGTCTGGCCTTACACAGGGGCTGACCTTCCATGAGACCTGAGGTGGAGGTGAGAGCCAGTGGAGTTGACACCAGGTGGCTGGGCCCCCTCAGCAGAATGAAGAGTTAGCATATATGGAGGTGAGAGAGACAATCTCCCTGGTTGTTTTGTTTGCTTTTTTATCCTATCACTTGCCCCATCCTCTCTCCTCTTCCTCGGGGCTCTGCTTTAACTGCCAACTTAGTTTAACTAGTTAGGGCTTCCTGTATGAGCCTGGGTGCGGATCTATTACCACAACGCTGGCAACTGACCACTGGCCACACCACTGAAGAAAACGACTCCCTGCCCCCCCCACCCACCCCCCACCCCCCGGCAACCATTAGCAGCCAACAGCTCTTCAGCTAGGGGCTGGTGGGCTGCCTTGCTTTCCCTAATACATACTGTTTATTACTAAGTATGAAAAGCACCAATCAAGAACCTCAATTATTTTAAGATCTTCCCTTCTTCTGCCCCCCACACCCTCAGCTTCTGCTCAGTAATGTTTAGCTCCTCCTTCAGCCTCAGAGCTGCCCCAGCCCAGCCTCTGGATCTCAGGAAACCCTGCCTCCAAAGATGCACCAGGACAGAGATTGAGACCTTCTATCCCTTTTCTCAATCTTCCTCCCTCCTCTTCCTCCCCCCTCCCTCCCCTCACCCTCTCCCTCTCCAACATCTGCCCTGCCACTGACCTCACTCACCCAGATTCACTTGCCTCTGCCTCCCAAATGCTGGAAATAAAAGAGTACATCACTGCACCAGGCCCTCCCCTCTGTTTCTTTTGGAATTACCTCAGGCACCAGCATGCCTGGAGGACTTGGGTGGGCCAGGAACTTGCATCACTAAGTGTACAGCAGAGATGCCAGGAGCCATCCTGAGGGGCAGGTGTAACCTGCCTTGCTGTGGACATGGTCACAGCTTTCCAAAGGTCTTTAGAATGCCTGATGGACTAACGGGGAGGAGGAGGAAAATGTCAACGACTAAGGGTCTGGCGGGGGCGAGGGGGGAAGGTCTTTGGACCCCGCTAACCCTAAATGCACAGAGTAGAAAGAACATGGCTACTCACCGCCCAAAGCTGCCAGTGACTGGGTAAGCAGAGACGAGGGAGCCTAGCACGTTGGTGAGGCCTGAGGAGAGAAGAGTTAGATAGGAGGAGAAGGAACATTAAGACAGGGAGGAGGGGAGTCAAATGCAGAACCACACAGGGAAAAGATGGAGAGAGGGCCCGGGGCCCCTCACCCAGCACTCATCCAGGGTGAGGAACCAAATCTTTATCACGTTCCCGACCTTGGAGTTTAGCTAACTCTAATTCAACGATTTTGCTTTTTTGTTGGTGTTGCTACTGGAGACAGGGTTTCTCTGTGTGGCCCTGGCCATCTTAGAACTTGCTCTGTAGACCAGTGGGCCTTAAATTCAGAGATCCTCCTTGGTGCTGAGACTAAAGGCGTGCACCGCCACCACCACCCTGCCCAGCTTTTGCTTCTTGAGACAAGGTCTCGGGTAGCCCAGACTGGCTGTGAGCTGAGAATGACTTGAACCTGAGCTTTCTGTTCCTGGAGTTTTCCTTCATGAGTCCCGAGACCGCAGGCATGCCCATCTATTCTAGGTTTAAAGTAGACCTGGCTCAGGCTTCAAGATACCTTAAAGATGATACTACCAGTAACCATGGAGAGGAAGGACATCCACCTCCCAGGGATGGTTTCAGAGAAAAGAGTACCTGAGATGTAGCTGCTGTCAAGCCAAGCTAAGAGACTGAAGGTCAAGACCAGCAAAGTGCTTGCCCAGGCAACAGGACAGATCACAGTACAGAAAGCCAGTACTACTGACTTGTTGGGACACAAGAACTAAGATCTTGGCCTACACCTACGACACTCTGTCTGCCCAACAGCCATGTCACACAGGAACCTTTACAGTGAACTAATCTGGCAACTACAGGTTCAATGCCTACTCTTGGAACTCCCCTAGCACTAAGTGTAAGGAAGGCAGTCGCTATCCCAAAGGGCAGGTATCCATAACTTGCTTAGACATGGAGCAAATGACTCCCTGTCCCCAGCAGTCACAGCTGCCAGCAGCTCCTCAGACAGGGTGGGTGGGCTGTCTTGCATTCCCTAATATGTATCATTTACTTCTGAGTATGAGAATAGCTATCAGCAACCCCGATTCCTGTAAAATCTCCCTTCTTCTGTCCCTGACATCCACAGCCAGGCTAAGCGGACCAAGGGTCATTCGCAGGCTTCGTAGACTCACAGAAAAATGAGAAAAAGCCCTAGAAGACTGGGGATTACTTAAGTACCAGCCCCTCTTGGGTCACAGAGCCAAGCCCAGATCTTTGAGAGCAAAGGGCCAGAGCAGCTTTGTAGAGACTGGACAGTGACCACGGGCTACACAGGACCACACTGCCCCCTGGTGGTCTGTTGAAGTCAATGGAGATGCCCCACCAGCCTATAGCTCAAGCGGACACTATTCACAGTTCTATCTGGCTGGCACTCTGGAGGCTCCATTGCCATCAGGACGGCCCTCTGCTTTTATTATCTGTTAGTGCTGGGGATTGACGTTATTTTTAACCCCTCTCAATTGGGGATTAAGGGCTTCACACACGGTAGGCAAATGCCCTACCACTGCGATATCTCCTTGGTCTCAGAATGAGTGCACTTCATTCGAAGAATGAAAATACGCCTGAGAACTCACAGCTGGGTGATTTGCTGCACGCACACGGGGCGTCCGCGGATTTCTTCTGCTAAAAGAGGCAGCTGATCCCACCTCTGTAGGGCCCCATCCACCAGTTCAGACAAACAGCCGCAGCCAAACCCTGCCACTGGACGGTTGGGTACTGCCAGTCCTCTCACAGGAGTGGCTCCTGCAGTTTCTAGGCTCGTATGAGCATTCACAAGGGGGAGAGGACCAGGCAGGAACACCCAGGTCCCACGACATATTAAAACCAGTACCATTATCAAAATTAAGATTCTTAGTGTGGGCCAGATGCAGTGGCTCAGTTGTTATGAGCACTTGCTACTCTTGCAGAGGACCCAGGTTCTATTCCCAGCACCCACAGGGTGCTCATAACTGTTTGTAACTCCAGTTCCACAGAAACCCGTGCCTTCTGACCTGCATTGTACGTCTCAAGTGTGCGTGCACGCACACACACACACAGCCACACATTAAAAAGAAAATTCTTTAAGACAAAAAGATTTTTAGTGTTCTTTCAAAACACACCGATGTGTAAGTTAGTTTGTAGGGACAAAAGAAAGTGCAGCTAAACTAGACACAAACCCCAGTGGCCCCCCCTGAGTTCTCACTGACCCATGTGTCCTTGCCTGGAAGGAGGTTCTACTGGGAAAAGATGGAGGTAACATCCTGGGCCCCCTTATCCCATGTTCATCCAGCAAAAGGCATCCAGGAGACTCGCCTGAACTCCACCTGGCTGCACCCTCCATGGAGCTGACTGGACACAGGGGAACAAGTCTAACCTGATATCTCAAAGGCTCCCCTACCACACACACACACAAACATCATACTTGGTGCCATCAGACAGGCACACAGGCACTGGGAACAGAATGGGTCTTACCGATGGCCAGCAGTTCCTGGTTGGCGTCAATTCGGTAGTTATTCTGAGAAGCTAAAGAGAAAAGACAGTGGAGACGCTGTCACTGATGTGCAAGAACAAGTTATGTGTGGGTCCAAGCTGAGGGGACAAGTTTACACTAGGAAATGTCAACAGACCCAAAAGCAGGAGCAAGTATTCAGGCTAGCCTTGAACTCACCAAGAACTGTCTGCCTCTACCTCTGAGTGCTGGGGTAAAATTGGTAGGAAACCATGCCCAGCAAATAAATATTGGTGTCTGAGTTGGGTAAGGGACAGAGTTCTGGAATGTTGGAGAAGAAATTTATTCCAGGAGCAACCAGGACCAGGCAGGAAACCTATGGAGCTTTGAAACCACATATTATTTCCGCTGGTGATGCTGTGTGTTGCTGGGGGTGGAGCCTGAACCCTACACATCAGCCACATGCTGCACTACCGAGCCCCACCCAAGCCTGTTATCTGGAGTTTAGCCTCAGCATCAGCCTGTACCCACAGATGACATGTTGCATTTACAGATCAGAACAGAGACAGACACCCAGACACTGGTAATGCAGAGCTGTAAGAACTGAGGACTTGGGTCAGGTGAGGGATTTAAGAGCCTGCCTTAGAAAGGCAAGACCAAGACTCGGATACAAACTGAACCAGAGGGAGAAAACAATGAGTCAAATTTTTAGGAATTTTATGAGCCAAGTACTAAGGTTGAAGTTTAAAGTCCAATCATTACTCCTGATTAACTAAAACTTTTCAGCTGGATATGGTGGCTCATTTAAATCCCAGACAGACAGACAGATCTCTGTGAGTTCAAGGCCAGCCTGATCTAGCAGTCAATTCCACACCAGTCAAGGCTACATGGTGTGGCCTGGTACTAAACAAACAAATAAATAAAGCAACTCCAGTTCCATGGGATCTGATTCCTTCTTCTGGCCTCTGAACTCATGTACACACACACACACACACACACACACACACACACGTACACACACGTACACAAACATGCACACATCCATGCACATTCACACAGATGCATGCACACACATGCTCTCACACACACATATACACTCACGCGAGCACACATACACACACACTTAAAAAATACAATAAATCTTAAATTTTTTTTCAATTCAACAAATTATCCTAAAAACAACTGTAACACAGCTCACTGCTTCCTGGTTTGACATATCATTATTCTCAACGAGGCGGCCAGTGCATGCTGTAAGAGGCCGTGCAGGGGAAGGAGATGGTCCTTAAGTCCATCTCATTCCAATTCATCAAACACCATGCTTGGCACCACATGGTAGGAGCAGAAACCAGCGAGGGCTCCATAGTAGGGGCTTGTGCACCCACACAGTGAAGGTCAGTGGGGCTCCTCACTCCAGAGCCCTGTATACAGTGCACCAAACGTCCTGTCTGGACTCTGGACTAGGAGGGTTGTGCCCTTGCACAGACTGTAGTCTGTGAGTGGCTGGGCTATCCTGGCCCTCTTTCTGCCCATGATGCCTTCCATATTTTAGGTCACAGATGTCCATTGTTCCCTCAGTCCCTACTCATTTTAAAACACGAACATGCATTACTTGTGTTAAAGTTCTGATTTTAAAAATAGGCAAACAAACCAGGAGGTGGTGAGCTGGTAGGAGGGGTGCGAGGGGTGGGCGGGGAGTTACAGGGATCTCACCGAAGGATTTGGCCACGGCAATGCTCTCCAGGAGGCCCATCAGAGGCACCACAGCCAGTCCAGCCCCCATGTCCTGAGAGGAGAAGGTCACTGAGCCATGCCTCTGTGCTCAGGAAGGCTCTTGACAAGCAGGGACCTGCCACAGTAGGATGGGCCTTCTTGACAGGTAATGGAGGCGAACACTGCTCCAGCTACAGGAGTGTGAATTTATACTGGAGAGGAAATGCCACCTCATCATGAAAAGAGAGAGGTGCTAAGAGGAACCCGGCTAATGTATCCTTTCCCGGTGTCCAAAGAATGAAGGGGCTTGAGGCAGAAAGACAAAGAGATATCCTGAGGTTGTGTCCTATTTGGTCTCTTCACTTTCCTGAGACACCCCTTCTTAAGGGCTGGGCCCAGGGGTCACCTCAGCTTCAACCATGCTACAGGCTCTGCATCTGCTCACCTGCACCATCTCAGAGAATGAGATGGTCTTGTTGTCTGTGGTCACTGAGAAGGGTGGGATCCGCGCAGGAGGGAGCCCCTCAGCAATCTTTCCAGTGAGAATGAACGGATGAGATCCTGTCACCTCGAAGGCATAAGCAATCAGGGCCGCAAAGGAGACCACCAGGGCGTTGCGAGCTGGGACAGAAGGGGAAGAGATTGGTGAGCCCAGTCTGTTTTTATTTTGAAAACTTATTTGATTTATTTTAGATTTATTTTATGTATATGAGTGTTCTGGCCGCATGTGTGTGTATGTTCCATGTATGTGTGTATGTATCATGTATGTATGTGTTCCGTGTGTGTGTGTATGTATCATGTATGTGTGTATGTTCTATGTATGTGTGTATGTTCTATGCATATGTGTGTTCTATGTGTGTATGTTCCATGCATGTGTGTATATATTCAATGCATGTATGTATGTTCCATGCGTGTGTGTATCATGTATGTGTATATGTTCCATGCATATGTGTATGTATCATGTGTGTATGTATCATGTATGTGTGTTCCATATATGTGTGTGTTCCATGTATGTGTGTTCCATATATGTGTATGTTTCATGTATATGTGTGTGTTCCATGCATGTGTGTATGTTCCATGTATGTGTGTTCTATAAATGTGTGTGTATGTATCGTGTATGTGTGTATATTTCATGTGTATGTATGTTCCGTGTATGTGTGTTTATGTTCCATGTAGGTGCCTGGAGCCTGAGGTCAGAAGATCCCCCAGAACCGAAGCTACAGACAGTTCTGAACTGTGTGAATTCTGGTGATTAAACACAGAACTCTGCAGGAGGAGCGAGTGTTCTTTACCACTGAGCCATCTCTCCAGCCCTGAGACCGATCTTAACAAGGAGGGTAAGGTAACTACTGAGTCACTGGATGTCACAGCCAGGGGACAATCCCCCAACTGCATACTCGGAAGCATGAATAAATGTGGCCATGAGCAGGGATGAACACGTGGCCCTGTGAAGCACACAACAGAGGTGACAGAGAAAAGCGAGGATGTGGAGGCAGAAGGATTGTGAGTTTGAGGCTTGTTTAGACTACACAGCCAATACCAGACCAGCCTGTGCTGTGTGATATGCTGCAGTTACACAGTGAGAACTAAATGACAGTGAGGGGCTATTTCAAAAGCAGTGGAGAAAAGGGTCAAACGAAGATGACAGAAGCACACTCCCATTGGTGCAATGCAGAAGGCCAGAAGACAAGACAGACAGACAGCAATGCAGACAGAACTTTTAAAGCATCAAGAAAGAAAAAAAAAGTCGATTTCTATACCCATTCTATACGCAGTAAACTGTCTTTGAAATGTGAAGACAAAATAAAAACCAATTCAGATATAAAAAGTAGAAAGAACTGACCAGTAAGCCTGCACCACAGGACGATGTCAGTGAAGCCTCTGAGCAGAGGGAGGCGCCACCACACAGAAAGCAAGATTCGCTCACAAGAGTGAAGAGGACCAGAAACAGCGGCCAGGTATCAGTGACTTTCTCCTTAATGTGCAGGGCTCCTTAAAAGCAGACGCAGGTCTAAAGGAGAAGAGCCCCCATCATCTTTACACACAGGGATTCACAGTACACACAGGGAAAATGTACGGTCACAGGGACATCGACATCGAACTGAGTGAAGTTACCACGTCACCCGTGACGCTGTGAGAAAACAAGGCACAGGATCCTCAAACCCTAAAGACCCGTGTCTTAGTCAGGGTTTACTGCTGTGAACAGACGCCATGACCAAAGCAACTCTTATAAAGACAACATTTAATTGGGGCTGTCTTACGGGTTCAGAGGTTCAGTCCATTATCATCAAGGTGGGAGCATGGCAGTGTCCAGGCAGACATGGTGCAGGAAGAGCTGAGAGTTCTACACCTTCATCTGAAGGCTGCTAGAAGACTGGCTTCCAGGCAGCTAGGATGAGGTTCTTAAAGCCCATGCCCACAGTGACACACCTACTCCAACAAGGCCATACCTCCTAATAGTGCCACTCCCTGGACCAAGCATATATAGACCATCACAAACCATGAAGCACAACCGTGGGCAAACACACAGGAGACGGCACTAACCGGCCAATAAAGGTAACAGGGAGTGATAAAGTGCTCAATCCAAGACAAAGGAGGAGAGAACACGAAAAAGACAAATCATGGAGACTCACAGTACAAAGCAGCAGAGGCCACACCCATGGATGCTAGAGATGTAAGTGGCATAAATTTCAACCCGAACAAGGCAGGGACTGCCATAGGGTACAGTAATAGTATAAGAAGTTAGACAAATAGGGATGGGTTGTTAAATCTACTCTTAAAAGCATTTTAGAGCCATAATCTTACAATGGCAGAGAGCTTCATATCTTGATGCAGAATTGAAGTTATATTTTCTTATGCTGGTACAGAATTTTATATATTGACACAGGTTTAGGGTTTTCTTTTTTCTTTCTTTCTTTCTTTTTTTTTTTTTTGGTTTGGTTTTTCGTGACAGGGTTTTTCTGTGTAGCCCTGGCTGTCCTGGAACTCACTCTGTAGACCAGGCTAGCCTCGAACTCTCAAACTCAGAAATACGCCTGCCTCTGCCTCCCAAGTGCTGGGATTAAAGGCGTGCACCACCACTGCCCAGCAGGTTTAGTGTTTTCATTGGTATGAATCTTTGTATAGTAATACAAAATTTAGGATTGATTTTGTTATTCTTTGATAAGCATTGTGCATAGGCAACTCATTTAAAATACAAGGTTTAGCCGGGCAGTGGTAGCGCATGCCTTTAATCCCAACACTTGGGAGGCAGAGGCAGGTGGATTTCTGAGATCGAGGCCAGCCTGGTCTATAGAGTGAGTTCCAGGACAGCCAGGGCTATATAGAGAAACCCTGTCTCAAAAAAAAAAACCCAAAACAAACAAACAAACAAACAAAAACAAGACAAGGTTTAATCCCAGTCCTTTTAATAGCTGCTATTACAAACTATTTAGGATGATTAAGTAACGCAAGTTGACAGTCAGCCAATCAAACTCATAGTCTGTTATCACAGAAATATAAACCCTAGGTTGTACAGATGATAGGTAGCTGGAGACAGGCAACATCACCTTGTTCAGATATGTGATTAATAAACAGATGGTCTTCAAAAGCATGAGACAGACAGAATATGGCATTTAAAATCATTTCATTATTAAAAGATCTGTTGACTATAAGACAGTCCTGCTCCTGACAGTACCCTCCTTCCACTTCAAGGAAGGCGATGAGCATCAGTACCTCCATGTGGAGTTGCTTCAATGTGGCAAGCTAGCTACTGGGCAAGAAATGCTCTAACTTTATCTTCAGACAAAATGCTGTCCAAAAACAACAAATGGATGCAGGATAGCTGCCTGCTAAGCTTCGCCAAGACAGAGTAAGCTAGTCCTTCAAAATTCCTGCTTCACTGAAAGTCTGTCAGATGTTCTGGAACAGAAGGCTGAAGGCAGACGCTCCAACGTTAAGAGGAATGTTGGGGACTGTCCAGGTGGTAAGCTATCTGTCATTTCTATGATTTTTGGAAGCTGGGTCCATCTGCTTCCTGCATACTTAAATAAATAATATTTATTCCTTCTCAAATCTCTGACGGAATTGAAGAGTAAATAGTCATAGTCTCACAATTAAACATAAGTTGTTTAGGATTTAAAAAGATGTTTTTAGGATGGTAATACAGATTAAGATTTTTTTAAAAAGTTATAATATTCTAATTCACCAAGATATGACAGATGGTAAAATACCTCATCTAAGTTACAAAATACAAGCAGACTGGACCTTTAAATGTAATTCATACTTAATAATTTTTTTTTTTGGTTTGGTTTTTCGAGACAGGGTTTCTCTGTGTAGTCCTGGCTGTCCTGGAACTCACTCTGTAGACCAGGCTAGCCTCGAACTCTCGAACTCAGAAATCCACCTGTCTCTGCCTCCCAAGTGCTGGGATTAAAGGCGTGCGCCACCACCGCATGGCTTAATAATTTTTATAATTGTTTCAAAATACTTCCTACTATGTACTGTGTGTTACTATAAGAGAAAGAGCCTTTTTAATTGGACAAAAATGGGAAAATGTATGGGTTGGCCTGATGCTGCTTGTATTCTAATGCTAATATTGGTTCCTCAAGACCTGGTTGCCCCAGAGAGGAGACAGCCTGAACACAGACCCAAGTGACTCTGTGTGACCTTGCCCCAAAGTTATTTCTGACTAGTGAATAAAGATTTGGACAACCAATAGCTGAACAGAAGAGGCATAGGTGGGCTTTAGGGTTCCTGGGCCTAGGGGCTTTGAGGAGAACCACGAGAGAGAGGAGAAGGTGGAGGAGGAGGAGAGAGATGCCATGGGTTAGGAGTCAAGAAAACATGGCCTCGAGGGCTGGCTGACTGGAGCTAAGAGCAGCCCAGATGAAACATAGTAATAACTCAGGGTTATGGATGGGAAAATAGATTCTAACAGCATAGAGGGTAGATATCTGCCCAGGTCTTGTGCTATTTAAGGCTTATTGTAAGTAATAAAGGTTGCATGCATCTTTTATCCAGGAACTAAATGGTCAAAGGCAGGATAGAAACTCCGGATTGGGATTACAAATTTCTACAACAGGGCTTAAAAACAAACCGCATTTATCCGATGTCCACAAAAAATCTCACCTTACAGAGACACAGTGGAGCGGAGATAATTTCAAGAAAGAAACAGAGAACCCATTTTACACGTTCTTGTCCCTAGCAATAGACATCTCAGACAACTTCTAGATAGGAAAATAAACCGCAGCCAAAGATCCACATTCCTGTCTCAACAATTAAAAAAACAGAAAAGAAACTGACAAGAATACAGTGGCCTAGGGCTGTAGAGATGGCTCAGTGGGTAAAGGCACTTGCCATTAAGTCTGAAGACCAGAGGTTGATCTCTGGGACCCTGCAAGTTGTCCACTGATCTCCACACATGCTGACTGTGAGGGCAACGGCCACATTACAGACTGGAAGGCTCACAAGTCTCAATAAATGAAATTTGAATGAATTTGTTGAGTCAGGGTTTCTCTGTGTAGCCCTGGGTATCCTGGAACTCACTCTGTAGACCAGACTGGCCTCAAACTCTGGGATCAAACCAGTCAATATTCCATCACAGATGGGAAGGGCTCATGAGGAACCACCCCTATGAGCTGACAGCTGCTGGGGAAGGGAGGGGGCTTCCCAGTGGTCTGCTCTAGCAGAGTCCTACAGCACTGTGGAATGCATACAGCACTAATTAGACTCAGTGAGTTGCTTAAAATAATATGTGAACATGGGAGGGGACATGGAGGAAGTCATGAGGAGAGGGAGGAGAGAAGGGAGAGAGAATGTGATCAAGATACATTGTATAAATATATGAAAATGCCAAAGAACAAATTAAAATATCTTAAAAGAGGCCTGGAGAGATGGCTCAAAGGTTAAGAGAACTAGTTGCTCTTCCAGAGGACCCAGATTCAACTCTCAACACCAATGCGGCCCCTAATAGCTATCTATGGCTCCAGTTCTGGGAGATACGACACCCTCTTCTGGTCTCCGTGGGCATTGCATGAACACGGTACACATACATGCAGGCAAAACACTCATATACATAAAAGTTTAAATATGTTTTTAAAAGTAATGATCAGCCAGGCAGTGGTGGCGCATGCCTTTAATCCCAGCACTTGGGAGGCAGAGGCAGGTGGATTTCTGAGATCGAGGCCAGCCTGGTCTACAGAGTGAGTTCCAGGACAGCCAGGGCTACACAGAGAAACCCTGTCTCAAAAAAACAAAAAACAAACAAAACAAAAAACAAAACCACCCCCCAAAAGAGTAATGCTTATCCTTTAAATAAAACAAAAGAAAAGAAAAACAAGAGCTGGTTGGTCTCAGTGGGACTTGATTTCTTCTGCTGCTATTTTGAGCTACTGACTCTAAAGAGGCACTCATCCCACAGTGGGGTCGGCACATTTCTAGTCTCTGTCCACCAGGTGGCAGCAACAGTGCAACAGCGTTTCCTCCCCCCCACCCCCAGCACTGACAACCATGATCCTTAATCACCATCAAGGCCTGAAAACTACCTGCAGCCCCATGTCTTCAGCTCAGCATGGGTGGGAAGTGCCTACGACCACTGTGGAACTGGCTGCTCTGCCAGCAGGTCCCCTCACCTGTTGTGACAGTCCACACCAGTCCACGGCTGACCTTCACACCAAGGGGCATTTCAGGATGGGGTGGAGGCATGTGTTCTCGCATGAACTTCAGCACGAGCAGCAGTGCCATGCAGGCCAGTCCTAGAACGGCGTCACCCACCCTGCAGATGTGGGTACGGGGGTGTGGTGCAGAAGAGGGGTGAGGGACCAAGAGGGAAGGGGGTGCGGGAGGGAGTGGAGGGTAAGGAGGCAGGCAGTCAGCATGGACTCAGTTTATGAATGCTCTTTCCTTTTACTGAGCCAGGGTTTCTCTATACAGCTCAAGCAGTCCTTGAACTTGTAATCCTCCTGCCTCAGCATCTCAAGAGTCAGAATCGCAGACAAGAGTATAACTCTCAGGGGTAACTTTTGCTGCAAGTGTCTCTCCCTGTCCACTCTCTACCTTCTGAATAACCTCTATTTCAGAACTGCTCTGGCCTCTGAAGGACACACCCCTGTGAAGGCTGGGAGGTGAGAGGCCCCTTGTCACCATGGTAACTGGATTATTGGCCCCATTTTTTCAGCCACGAGTTCTCTAGCCTATGGATGCTTAGTCTGTTCCCAAGAGGTTTGGAGGCTTTGGGATTACATAGTTAGTGACACCCTGCCCACTTCATTACCCGTTAGAACTGAGAATATCCAGTCTCACTCCCCTGCCTCCATCAGGGCAGACAGGAAGCACCCTGCCTCTGGCTTCAGGCCCTGGGGAGCCCAGCAGACTGCCCTGAGCTTGGGTGTCTCTCCAAGTAATTTTGGGCATGAGGAATAGGCCATTCATCCTGGTTTCCACTGGACTGATGTGGTGGGTATTTACCTCTTCAGAGGAAAGACCCCTAGGGGTTCCCCAGCTCTTTCCATGGCTCGCCCGCCCTGCCCTCTGTCCATTGCCCACTGCCCGCTGCCCCTGTACCCTGCATCAGCTCTTGGTGCGGTGTCTGTGGTCTCATCCTTACTAAGAACTTTGGGAGCAAGACATTGTCTGGCCTTTCTTGACTAACCCGCTCCAGGGTTACACAGTGTTCACACTGCCCACGTCTTTGCTACAATGTTGCTGACTCTTGGTCTGGCCTGGCCTGGGTGTCTGCGAGTCTTAACTTGCTGCACAGTGATGGAACCGTTGTGTTCCCAAGGGCCCATGTGAAAAAGAACAAATGTCACCTGGATGGGGATGAAGGTGGGGGTAGCAAGGGGGTCTGGAAGGAAGGACAAAAGACACAGGTACCTGGTTTCTCCGATGTGGAGGAAGGTGTGGTACACCTGGAGGAAGAATTGACGGGGGATGTTCTGCAATCCCAGCAGGTTCTGTTCAAACAGAGGAACCATCAGACGACAACCCACTGGAGGCCAGCTCCTCACACATTTTCCCCTGTGTGTGTCTATCTGCCTGTCTGCCTCTCTCTCTCTCTCTCTCTCTCTCTCTCTCTCTCTCTCTCTCTCTCTCTCTTTCTCTCTCTCCATCAGGAGAGCCCCTGGAGTCCCATGTTGGACCCCCAATCCCCAGGGACATGCTGTCTCAGGGCTCCAATAACCAGTTTTGTTCTGGGGGTGGGGAGATGGGTGACACCCTGTGCTAGCCTAACACTGTTGCAAATACTGAGGTGTGGAACTCTGGGCAAGCAAGCAGAGATGTATTCTGGGTCTCAGGGGACTCCTGTCCTGGCCATGTCAGATGGTTGCAGGCCACGATCCAATCTTTTTTTGTTAATGTTTTTTTCTTTCTTTTTTTTGTTTTCTTTCTTCCTTCCTTCCTTCCTTCCTTCCTTCCTTCCTTTCTTCCTTTCTTTCTTTTATATGAGTACATTGTCACTGTCTTCAGACACACCAGAAGAGGGCATCGGATCTCATTACATATGGTTGTAAACCACCGTGTGGTTGCTGGGAGTTGAACTAAGGACTTCTGGAAGAGCATTCTGTGCTCTTAACTGCCGAGCCCTCTCTCCAGCCCCTAATCACATTTTCTAAAACCAGGTGGGCAGCTAAGATTGCAAAACAGGGTACAGAGAAGGATCCACCTATTGGCATTACGGTCCCACAAGAGATCATTCAATTCCCACAAGGGAAGGGAAAAATAAAAATGGACTCTATTATGTACTCCAACTGAATTATGTTGTTTCCCAAATAAAGACAGGGCCTCCCACAAAAGACACTGGCACACCCCGACATGTGCACGTGACTCCTCACACACACCACACCTTGCTATGTTGTTTGCTTGCTTTAAAGCAGATACGACAACAAGCTTGTCATCTAGGCGTCTGGTGTGTGTTGGGAGTTAGACACATGAAAGTGTGACCTGGAGCCTCGAAATCAGGGTAGAAAAAAAAGAAAAGAAAAAGAGAAAGAAAGAAAACGCCAGCCTCCGCATCTACATACCCACACTCCTATCCTACAATTCTCAGCCCTCACAGAGAGGAGGAGCAGCCCATCTCGTGGAGATGTGCGAAGGTGACACAGCATCACGAGCCAGGGGTGTGGCCCTGAGTGTGCCACGAGGGGCCCAAGCCGCCAAGTACAGGACAGAGTTCGGTTCCACTCTCATATGCTGGCACACGGACACTTTATACCACAGTCCCATCCTTGAGGGCTGCCAGTGGGGAAAGTAAATTCTACCCTTGGGTAACTGAAGACCGTGAGTTTGAGCACTTTTTGAAGATATCTTACAAACTGCTTTAAAAAAAAAAAAAAAAAACCTGGTGTGCTTAAAAAATAGTAAAGAGTAGGAGAAACCACAACAGCAAAGCCATTCATGGAGGTCAGATCTTACATGACTTACTGCTGGGGCCTGGCAGTCGGCTGCCAATCACAAGTCTCCCAAGGAGCTGGTCGTAAAGGTAAGACAGAAATGCACAAACACCGGGGTACAGACACAATAAAGCCAGGCAGGGTACAGAGGCCAGCTCCAGACTGACCTTTGTGAAACCTGACTGTTAATCAACACCTCCTTTAGTGTGATGGTTTGTATATGCTAGACCCAGGAAGTGGCACTATTAGAAGGTGTGGCCTTGTTGGAGTAGGTGTGTCACTGTGGGTGTGGGCTTTAAGACCCTCATCCTAGCTGCCTGGAAACCAGTCTTCCACTAGCAGCCTTCAGATGAAGATGTAGAACCCTAACAAAGACACTTAGGAATGTGCTTCTTGGTCCACAGTGAACAGATGGCTGCAGGCCCCATCCAGCATGACTGGTTTTGGTCTTAGTCCCAGGCATGACAGCAGCAGCCACAGGGGCAGAATCCAGGGGACACCGTGCCTACCTTGATCTGTCCAAAGCCAATTGTGATGCTGGCAGCAGAGGTGAAGCCTTTAATGACAGGGAAGGAGATGAAGTCCAGCAGGAACCCTGTAGGCAAGAGAAAGAAGTGAGACAGTTAAGCCACTCGGCTTCAGGAGAAGCGTGTAGCCATGGGCTGGGCACCGCCTGCAGCTAAGGACTGATGGCTGGCATGCTGCTCAGGACATTTTTTTCTAAAGTTTATTTTTCAAAAGTTTATGTTGTGTATCTGGTGTGTGTGCCTGTGTGCGTTTATGTGCACCATGTATGTGCAGGTGTGAACAGGGACCAGGAGAGGATGCCAGATTCCGTGAACGTAGAGCTACCATTGGTTCTGAGTTGCCCGCTACAGTGAACCCAGGTCCTCTGTGGAAGTGTACATGCTCTTAACTAGGCGCCATCTGTAGTGGTTTGAGTATGTCTAGCCCAGAGAGTGGCACTATTTGGAGGTGTGGCCTTGTTAGAGTAGGTGTGTCACTGTAGGCTTGGGCATTAAAACCCTCACCCTAGCTGCCTGGAAGTCATGCTTCCATTAGCAGCCTTCAGATAAAGACGTAGAACTCTCAGCTCCTCCTGCACCATCCCTGCCTGGATGATGATAATGGACTGAGCCTCTGAACCTGCAAGCCAGCCCCAATTAAAATGTCTTTTATAAGACTTGCCTTGGTCATGGTGTCTGTTCACAGTGGGAAAACCCTGACCGAAACACCATTTTTCCAACCCCACATCCTAGGCATTTTTGGAAGGTAGGGAAGGTCTAGGCTCTGGAGCTCCAACACTTCTGGCCCCTGTGCAGAATACAGTCAAGATGGAGGCTGCCCCACCCCTGTATATAGAGATGCACAGAAAAGCACCCCAGGAGGACCTGGAACCCCAAGAGAAGCAGCCTGAAGCCACTCCCCACAGCAGGAAGACAGAGTCCTACCCAAATGCAGGAGTCCCATGGCCAGCTGGATACACCCAGACAAGAAGGCAAGCAGCACGGCGTAGGCAGGCTCACGGAAGGTGTAGAAGGACACCAGGAGAGACATGATAGCCGTGGGGCCCAGCGTCACATCCCGGGAGGTGCCAAGGAAGAAATACACGAAGCATCCCATGAAGGCAGAGTAGAGACCATACTGTTGGGGAAAGATGTCAGTGAACATAAGGAGGCCCAGGCTGGTCACTATATATTCTTGTGTGTGCTGTCAACCCCAGCGCACTAGAGATGCACCTCTGTCCTTCCATTAACTACCAAAGGAAGGCGGGGGCTGTCTGCTGGAAGCTCAGAGGTCTGTGTGTTTATATTTGTGAGTCTGAGGACATGTTTATTTTTTACATTTTATGTGCCTGAGTACTCTGCCTGCACTTATGTATGTGTACCACGTGAGTGGGGGTGACCTCAGAGGCCATGTTAGATCCTCTGTAGCTGGAGTTACAACAGCTTGTTATGAGCTGCCCCATCTGAGTGTCGGGAACTGAACCCAGGTCCTATGCAAGAGCAGCAAATAAACTACAGAGCCATGTTTCTAGCCCTAAGCAATCTTGTAAAATCTGTTGTCTTGGGGCTGGAGAGATGGCTCAGCGGTTAAGAGCACTGACTGCTCTTCCAGAGGTCCTGAGTTCAAATCCCAGCAACCACATGGTGGCTCACAACCATCCGTAATGAGATTGGATGCCCTATTCTGGTGTGTCCAAAGACAGCGACAGCGTACTCATAAATAAAATAAATACATAAATCTAAAAAAAAAAATGTTGTCTTGTGATTGAGTCTCAATATGTAACCCTGTGATAGGCTGGCCTTGAACTCTCAATCCTCCTGTCTCAGCTTCCCAAGTGCTGGGATCTCTATGGACAAGCCACCAGTGCCTTGTTGTTGTTAAGGCCACCATGAGGCATGATTTAGTCCCCAGCTGGAAAATTTAGGACCAGCTTGGTACCGAAAATAAGTCACATGTTAAGAGATTAGATACCAAGGGGCCGTCTGGGTTGGACACAAAGAAGTGTTGGATTCCATGGTCGGTGTTTCATCCTGTGGACAGACACTGAGGAATAGGGAGGGATCAGGCTGTGGAGAGGACAGCTAGCAGAGAGGTCAACCACTTCACCTGGGGTGGGAGTCCTGCCACTTCTGCATAGGCCAGGCCCTGGGGGATGACGGTGAGTCCCACGGAGAGGCCAGCGATGAAGTCCAGCCTCAGCCACTGCAGAGAGTAGTTAGGCAGCCAGGCCAGGACGGGTAGCCTCCTCCTCAGGACCGCACCAGAACAGCAGCACGTGTCTGGTGCCATGTCCAGGCTGGGGGATCTGGCCTGACCCAGACCTTTCACAGAGCTGGGCATGGGTGACATGGAACGGTGATCAGGGGCTGAGTTTGGAAGAGGGTGGCATTATCTTCCCAAGGGGGTCAGGAGCAGAGCCTGCTTTTTGTGGAAGGGAAGTTGCACCAGGTGGCTAAGTTTACCAAACCTTGATGATCTGGAAAAGGAAGCCAGCAAAAATATGCACATGGACCTGGACGGAGGATTCAGGGAGGCCTCTCTCTTTCCCAGCTCTGGGCCACAGCCCCTGAACCCCAGAGGGACCCCAAGCTTTGATGTTTCTTCATCATCAACCCCACCAACAAAACCTCACATACTAGTTCTTCATGGGATGCCTAAAGACTAAATTTTCACCTCTGAAGAACCTTTCTTTTATCCCCGCCCCAGGGAACCTGACTATCCCAACTCAGAGAGAAGCTGGTCCTGCAGACTCAGGCTTCCGCAGGACCGCAGAGTGTGTGGGTGGGCGGCCAGGAGGCTCCGAGGTGCTAAGATTTACAAGTGTTCACCTCACCACCACGGAGGGCCACAGAGGAAGAAGGGCTCCACCCACCACTCAGGACTGCAGTTGGGGTAACAGGGGCGGGAGTGTCTCACATCCTTGAAGTCAAGATTTACCCAGCACCCACTTGTGGCATTCATAGCCCAAGGGTGGGCCCTGAAGATTCTAGTTTGTTTTCCAACTAAAACTAAGATCAACTAAAGCTCCCAAACTAATTCTAGGTGCGTAGCATCCGCTAAGACCCTGGCGCGCGCACACATACATACACACACACACACACACACACACACACACACACGTCCTAGCCCATTGCTGACTCCCCATTACTGGTCCACACGCCCCATCCCTTTAAGTGTCACTCTGGGCAAAATCCACTCCTCCCCACCCCCACGCTGCCGCTAGCGCGAGATCCCGGGATCGGGGGTGGGAGGCGGGGGCTGAGGTCTCAGTGGGGAACACAACCAAGTCTTAGAACCTGGAGTAAGGCTGAGGGCGGCCCGGACTCCAGTGGGTCGCGAGGTAGCGAGGTTCCCCGGAGTAGAGCTCACCCGGGGACCCAGCGCTGGCTCCGCGTCCACAGCTGCTGGTGACCCCAGCCCACGAGGCCACGCAATTCCTCTCTCCATTACACGGACCCAGACTCACCCACCGGACGCTGAGGCGCGGGGTCTTCCTAAGTGGCCGGAGCTGAGTCCGCAGGAATCTCAGGGACAGAGTGGGCAGGACATGGGCGGGGCCTGCCGTGCACGTGACCGTGGAGAGGGGCCGAGCCGGAACCGCTTACCCTGATCGGCGCCGCCATGCACCGCCCGGGACTGGCCTGCTGCATAGTGCTGTTGGTCCTGGGACCCTGCGGCGCGCACTCGCGCAACGTGCTGCTGATAGTTGGTGAGTGCCGCCGTCCCTGGCACGGCCACCTGCTGCTACTCTGATGCGGCCACTCGGCTCTTCCCCGCCACTGGCCCGTGCCGACCCCTGCGCGCCAGTTCCTTGCCGAGCCTCCTGTTGTGGGTCTCTTCCTCGTGACTCTAAAAGCGTCTGGCCCTCCCCAGTCTGGCTCAGCACTCCCACATCTGTAGTCAGAGCTGCCAGGGAGACCCCGTGGGCCCCAGCTACTCAAGCTCGACGGCTTTGCAGAGCTGAGGGGTTCACAGACCTCTGAGAAGGTCCCAGAAAAGAGAATGGCGCCTGAGTCCCCGAGTTTTTGCAGGATGTCCAGATCAGCTCTTTCACCTCCTGGCCCAAAAGTACCGTACTCCATTGCCCACGCAAAGTCCCTAGCCCCTCTTAGAAACCACCAAGTTCCTCCTGCTTTCATGAGACTTCCTGTTTGGGTGATCAGTGCCTGGCTTGTGACAGCCCAGGCCTTCTGAGGTCTGGCCCTGAGCCAGACCCACTTTTTCTGATAAACTTTGTGGTGTCTGGGCAGGCCAGCTGGTTAATTGTAACATAAACAGTGCAATCTCCCTGAGGACAGTAGTGAAGATCGGTCCAGGAAGCACATCCCCCGGATAGGATTGGTGCTGGAATCCCCGGAGCCCAGTCTGTGTGGCTCTGTAACTTCAGTCCTGTCTCAGTTTGGACAGCCATCACAACAAAAACCTGACAGGCTTGAGGCTGGAGAGGTGGCTCAGTGGTTAGGAGGACTGGCTGCCCTTCCAGAGGACACAGGTTCAATACCCAGAACCCAGGTGGCAGCTCACAATGATCTATAACTGTTGTGTGCATACATGCAGGCAAAATACCCAGAAAGCAGAAAATAAAGATTCACACACACGCGCACACACACACACACACATACGCACAACACTACAGGCCAGTTTTTTTTTTTTTTTCAATTACATTATAAGGAGAGACTGGTTTCAGAGAGACAGCTCCTCCATCTGCCTCCAGGGAGGCCTTCCTGGACTGTTGATGGCACCTGTCTCGTCTCCAAATGTGACAGGGAAATTCCCTGTCGGATTGGACCACACCCTCACTTAACCGTTGAAGACTGTGGATTCAGGTAATAACAGCAGGGATTTTGGAAGGACTCAATTCAGTCTGAACCAAAGTCAGAGGCTAGAGCCAAGACTTATGTGTGCAGAAACAGCATGGCTTCCTGGCCGGCAGCAGAAGGCACACGTAACACAACTGCTCCCACCTGTCCTCCCGCTGGTCCTCCCAGCTGTCCTCCCAGCTGTCCTCTTGTCTGTCCTCCTCCCTGTCTTCCCTGCTGTGCTCCTGCCTGTCCTCCTGTCTTTCCTCCCATCTGTCCACCTCCCTGTCCTTCTGTCTGTCCTCCCACCTGTCCTCCTTTCTGTCCTCCTGCCTGTCCTCCCTTCTGTCCTTCTATCTGTCCTATCTGTCTTCCCGTTTGTCCTCCTGTCTGTTCTTTCATCTGTCCTCCCATCTGTCCTCCTGTCCTCCCATCTGTCTTCCCATTTATCCTGTCTGTCCTCCTCATTGTCCTCCTGGCTGTCTTGTTTGTCTTCCTATTTGTTCCCCTGTCTGACCTCCTGTCTGTCCTCCCATCTGTCCTCCTGCCTGTCCTCCCATCTGGCCCTCCTGTCCTTCCGTCTGTACTCCCGCCTGTCTGCCCACCTGTCCTCCCATCTGCCCCCCTTGTCCTCCTGCCTGTCCTCCCGTCTGTCCTCCTGCTGGTCCTTCTGGCTGTCCTTCCATGTGTTCTGCCTGTCCTCCCCGCTGTCCTCCTGCTGATCCTTCCATCTGTTCTCCTGTCTGTCCTCCTACCTGTTCCCCTGCCTGTCCTCCCATCTGTCTTCCTTCCTGTCCTCCCACCTATCCTCCTGCCTGTCCTCCTGTCTGTCCTCCTGTCTGTCCTCCTGCCTGTCCTCCTGTCTGTTCTCCTGTCTGTCTGCCCATCTGTCCTCCCGTGTGCTCAGCTGTCATTGGTTCTTGCCCAGGTGGTCCAGTTGGGTGGAGGATGGTGGCCAGACTGGAGACTGGGCATCCACCTTTCTTCAGGGTCTGCATTGCCTCTGAGGTAGCTGGGTGACATGTTGCTCCTGGGTTCCCACCAGCTAATTCTGGGGTCCCCTGCATGGCTGTGGGTGCTGCATGTCCTCTCTCTGCACTTCTGGTGCCTCCTGTAGGGTCAAGGGTCAGAAATAGACAATCTGTAAGGCTGACTCTGAGAGAGGCAGAGGTGTGTTGTACACACACACACACACACCCCTCAGCTGTGTCCTGGGCGTATCTCTCCTGGCTGGCTGTCACCTTATGAGGTAGAGTCTGGAGAGCCCGGGGAAGCCCAGCAGCCTGCAGGGATTACATCCAGCCACCTTCTACTGACTCACCTGCATGGACACCAGGTCTGTTGGGGTGTGTGCTTCCCGCACTAGCCTACCTGTTAACATTCCCACCTGAGTTTCCTGCTTCCTGCGTTGGGTCCCCTGCAAACCATGGTGTCTTCTCTCCCCGCTAACACATCCACCCAGGGATCTTGCCTACCTGTCTGTTCCCTGCTTGCTCACAGACTCATATCATTGTGCCTGGCATCACAACCCCTCAGGTGTTCTGCCTTCTGGGAGTGTCTCTCCAACTCCTCAGTGTCACAGGGCCAGCCTTTGTAGCGGTACCCTGGCTCCCTCCTGACCCCAGCCGACACACCTTCTGCTCTGTCTTCCTCAGCTGATGACGGAGGCTTTGAGAGTGGTGTATACAACAACACCGCCATCGACACCCCTCACCTGGATGCCCTGGCCCGCCACAGTCTTATCTTCCGTAATGCCTTCACGTCTGTCAGCAGCTGTTCCCCGAGCCGTGCCAGCCTCCTCACCGGCCTGCCCCAGGTGAGAGTGGCTAGTGGGATAGAGGAGGGAGGAGTGGATAGGTGGTGACTCTAGGGCCCACAGGGAAGCCCCCTCTCTCCTGGGAAATGCTGCCCGGTTTCCTTTGCATCCTTAGGGGCAGGTACTGCCCAGAGGTCTCAGGTGCAGCCAGGGCTCTGCCTCCCTCCCTCAGCTCAGCTGGCTCTGCTGTTCTGCAGTCATGAGTGAGTATATACCTCTCAGTGCCTTAGTGTCCTCATCTGAGACATGGGCACAGTGAGGTGTCACTTGAAGGTCATTGTGGGCATTGGTCAAGCATGGCTTTCTGGAGAAGGGGCTCAGCACAGTGCCTGCACATGTCCTGCCAGCCCTGCGCCAGAACCTCCGTGGGGTCAGGCACTTCCCTTTTCTGTTGCTATGGTAAAGTACATAAAACATAACATTTGCCATCTCAACAGTTTTCCAGTGCATAGTCAGTGGTGTGAGGAACACTCACATGACTCCAGCCGTCCCTCCATCCGCCTCTAGAACTTGCTTTAACTGAAACCCTGTCTTCATCACATACCACCACCACCACCCCAATTCCTGGCGGACCCTGCTCTGTTGTCTGTGAATCTGATGACCCTGGGGCTCCCTTGAAGGTGGAATCACTGCTGTTCAGCTTTTGTGACAGGCTGTGACACTGAGCTTAGCATCTCTGAGGCCCATGTCAGAATTTACTAAATCTTCTTCTTTTTTTTTTTAAAGATTTATTTATTTATTTATTTATTTATTTATTTTATGTATATGAGTGAGTACACCATTGCTCTCTTCAGACACACCAGAAGAGGGCATCAGACCCCATTACAGATGGTTGTGAGCCACCATGTGGTTGCTGGGAATTGAACTCAGGACCTCTGGAAGAGCAGTCAGTGCTCTTAACCACTGGGCTATCTCTCCAGCCCTTAACCTCCTTTTTCAAGATCTCTGTTATAAACGCCCTTAATCCCAGCACTTGGGAGGCAGAGGGAGGTAGATCTCTGAGTTCACAGCCAGCCTGGTCTACAGAGTGAGTTCCAGGACAGCCAGGGCTACATATAGAGACCCTGTATCGTGTTTTACATTTTAAAATTTATATTGTGAGCAGGTGAGGTAGGACACCATGCCTATCACAGCGAGTCTCTGGAGGTCAGAGACAGCTTGTGGGAACTGGTACTCTCCTCATACCACGTGGGTCTCAGGGATGAGACTCGGGTCACCCTCTGGCTGAATGCTTTTCCACATGAGCTGTCTTGCACAGCCTTTATCCAGACAGGGCATAGGACCAGGTTAGCCTCAAGCTCACTGTGCAGCTGGGTACATCCTCCTTGGTTCCTTTCCTCCTCTGGCTGGTATCCCCTGTCACAGGAGGGAGAACAGGGTGGAGTTCCTCTAGACCAGCATCCACAAGGGTCCAGGGATGAGCTGTGGGGTGTGGGAGCCCAGCCTCACGGCATGGGTATCTTCATCTACAGCATCAAAATGGCATGTATGGACTGCACCAGGATGTACATCACTTCAACTCTTTCGACAAGGTACAGAGCCTACCGCTGCTGCTCAGCCAGGCCAGCGTGCGCACAGGTGAGCGGTGGACAGGGTGCAGCACAGGTGTGTGGTCCCTCTCCCAACCAAAGCTGGAGGTCCGAGTCACTGACCTGCTGCTCAGCCAGACCAGCGTGCACACAGGAGAGGTGTGGTCATGAGGACAGGATGCAGGTTCAAGGCCACTTTGTGATCCTCCCTAGCCTCTTAAAAAGGAAGGTCCAGGGCTCTGAGTCACCCTCAGCTCATGTGGTCCTCCTGAGCACTCATCCCAAGGGCCAGGCCAGTCTCCAGGCTGCCCATGCACAGCGGTCACGCTTGGGCAGGATAAGGGGACAGAGTGGACTCCGGACAGACAGACCTCTTGTCTGCCCTCAGGCATCATTGGGAAGAAGCACGTGGGTCCGGAGACGGTGTATCCCTTCGACTTTGCGTTCACAGAGGAGAACAACTCTGTGATGCAGGTGGGGCGGAACATCACTAGGATTAAGCAACTGGTCCGGAAATTTCTGCAGACTCAGGATGACAGGTAAGGAGGGCTCTGCCCTGTTAGCTCTCTGGGGCAGCCAGACCTCTCAACAGTAGACTTAGGTGGTCATCCAGGGTCCTCAGTTGGCTGTGGCAGGGGCAGAGGAAAACATTCTACATAGTCAGAAGAAGAGGGTGAAGGGGGAAACTGAGGCAGTGAGGGAGACAGGATGCTGGTAGGCGTAATCCATGACGAAGTGTGCTTATCTAAGAATTGAGGCTCTCGATGGGCAGTGGTGGCACATGCCTTTAATCCCAGCACTTGGGAGGCAGAGGCAGGCGGATTTCTGAGTTCGAGACCAGCCTGGTCTACAGAGTGAGTTCCAGGACAGCCAGGGCTACACAGAGAAACCCTGTCTCAACCCCCCCCCCAAAAAAAAAGAACTGAGGCTCTCACGGTCAAGACAGTAGCCTGGCTTTGACCCCCACATTGATCCCCTCCCCCACATTCAGGCCCTTCTTCCTCTACGTGGCCTTCCATGACCCCCACCGCTGTGGCCACTCCCAGCCCCAGTATGGAACCTTCTGTGAGAAGTTCGGGAATGGGGAGACTGGCATGGGGCGCATTCCAGACTGGACACCCCAGATCTACGACCCTCAGGATGTGAAGGTAGGAGGGACACTTACAATGCTTCCAAGGCATGCAACCCAACCTCCTCTAGACGCGGGGCCCTGCCCCCCCTTAGAGCTTGCAGCCCTGCCTATGTGTCTCAGACAATGTGTCTGAGGAGACTTGACTTAGTGGGCTCCAGGTTCCCGTGTGTGCGGGCTGCAGAGAGAGAGCCCTGAACCCTGGAGATGAAGCACTGAATGTGCACAGAGAAAAGCTGTTTTGACTAGTCTGTTCACAGGTGTGTGTGTGTGTGTGTGTGTGTGTGCCCACTGGACTGCCTCCTATCCAGTCAGAAATGGCCCATGTCATCCATACCCCTCATCTCTCTATCTCACCCCCCATCACCGCTCTGAGATATTTTGCCCTACCTTCATCCTCAGGTGCCCTACTTTGTCCCAGACACACCAGCAGCCCGAGCTGACCTAGCCGCTCAATACACCACCATCGGGCGGATGGACCAAGGTGAGTCCCAGTGACCAAGGCTGTCTCTCTCGTCACAGGCCAGGGACCTTTAGCTAAGCTGGACTTGACATAAGTGGAGTCCCGGAAGCAACATAGTGTTAGCCAGAGTAGTGTTGAAGGAGTAAGGCCTAGTGTCTGGGGCTTGGGCCTCAGTATCCCTTCATGTTGCTGCTTAGCTGTGTCTAGACCCTTTTGTCTATAGCTCTGTTTTTTTTTTAATTTTTAAATTTATTTTGTTACTATTATTGTTATTATTATTATTTGAGATAGAGTTTCTCTGTATAGCCCTGGCTGTCCTGGAACTCATTCTGTAGACCAGGCTAGCCTCATACTCACAGAGATCTGCCTGCCTCTGTCTCTTTCTCTCTGTCTGTTTCTTCTCCTTCTCCTCCTTCTTCTCCTTCATACGTATTTTATTTGTGTGGGTGCGTTGCCTACATGTATGTAAGTGCATGACACATACAGTACCCACAGAGAGGACAGTAGATCACCTGGAATGACATTACAGATGGTCGTGAGCCACCATGGGGGCGCTAGGAATCAAACCTGAGTCTTCTGGAAGGGCAGCCAGTGCTCTTACTCACTAAGCCGTCTTTCCAGATCCAGCTTTTCTTTTTATTAATTAAAAATTGTCTCTGATTTTCATGTGTGTATGTGCCTGGGTGTATAAATGTGTATGTGCATGCCTTCACATGTGTATGATTGTAGAAATGTGTGTGCATGCCTTCACATGTGTATGGGTGTACAAATGTGTGTGTGCATGTTCTTACAGGTATATGAGTTTACAAATGTGTGTGTACATGTGGGGCCTGAGGCGGATGTTGGAAGTCACCCTGTCTCTTTTTTAGCTCACTTACCGAGAGTCTGTCAGTCAAACCCAGAGTTGATGTTGCTGTCTGGGAGACACCTGACTCTGGCATCCCATTTCTGCCTTCCATGGCTGGAATCCCAGGCTAGCTCTCTCACCCACCTGGCAATTATGTGGGTTTCTGGGATCCAGACTGTGATCCTGACTCTTGCGTGACAAGCACTTTAACTGCTGGTCTGTCTGCCTGGTGCCGTCTCTTCTAAATGAAAACTTATTTTGACTTTTTGAGACAGGATCTTGTTATAGACCAGGTTAGCCTGGAATTCACTTGGTAGCCCAGGCTGTCCCTGAATTCCTAATTTTCCTGCTACTAGGAGCATCCCAATACCAGTGTCCCATCTCAGACTCCTACCCAAGCCGTCTCTCTTTGCTCCATGGGACAGACACAAGATTCTAAAACAGAAGCCAGCGTGGGGCAGTAGCAGCTGCCTCGTATGGCAGCAGTTCTAAGGGATGAGAGGTCCCTGGAAGCCATGTGACCTGCTCAAGTACAGGAACTGTGTGCTTTGAGCTAGAGGCTGGGCTTGCAGGAAAGACTGAAGGGGTGTTTGAGGACCAGAAAGTAGTAGAACCCAAGGGTGAGTAGACACATGTGCCTCTGAGCCTTCTCCCTCCTCCCCATCCTCAGGGGTAGGACTGGTGCTCCAGGAGCTTCGAGGTGCCGGTGTGCTGAATGATACCCTCATCATCTTCACATCCGACAATGGGATCCCCTTCCCCAGTGGCAGGACCAACCTGTACTGGCCTGGTACAGCCGAGCCTTTGTTGGTGTCATCCCCAGAGCACCCAAAACGCTGGGGCCAGGTCAGCGACGCCTACGTGAGCCTTCTAGGTTTGTCTGTCTGTTTGTCTGTCTCATGGGAAGGGAGAAGTGAAGTCCAGCGGGACTGCCATGGGTTAGGTTCTGGAGTGCTCCCCAACCTAGGTAGGGATAAGATGGCCTCCTCTATTACATAGTGAGAATCAGAGTCACCTGGGAGATATGGGGAGTCACGACCCCCAGAGTGTCTAGTGGGGTCCCAGGTGGTACCAATGGGCTGTGAGTTACCTACTTGAGAACCATTTCCCTTTTTCTCAGGATCCAGAGCCTCTCAGGACTCAGCTCTGAGAGCCTGGTTACCTAGCCCCATACCACAAATGAACAAGCATGCCCACAGGTGTGAGAAACAGAGGATAGAGTTAAACCAGCCCAGGCAGAAACTTTCTGTGCCCAGCCCACTTGCTTGGAAAGAGCCCCCATGTTCTTCTCAGTGATTACAAGATAGGCTCCCTCTAGCTCAGGACCCACATCTCCACGTGGCCTTAACCCATGAGTGAGGGAACCTTGTGACCAACCCAGACTGGCTGGATGAGCCCTCCCTACCCAGGGTTCCTCTGGTCCACAGGACTTTAGAAGGTCCCTAGATATCAGTAAGCCAGGGCCTCTGGTTACACTGTTTTCAGCCTTACAGGCCAGAAGTCATCTGATCCTATGGGTGCCCATGGGATTTCCAGAGAGACTCAGATCCAGCCCTCCCAAAGGGCTGCGTGTCCCCCAGGAACCCCTGCTAATAGGCTGTTCCTTTCCAGACCTCACCCCCACCATCCTGGACTGGTTCTCCATTCCGTACCCCAGCTATGCCATCTTTGGCTCAAAGAAGATCCAGCTCACAGGCCAATCCCTCCTGCCTGCGCTGGAGGCGGAGCCCCTTTGGGCCACTGTCTTCAGCAGCCAGAGCCACCACGAGGTCACCATGTCCTACCCCATGCGCTCCGTGTACCACCAGAACTTCCGCCTCATCCACAACCTCGGCTTCAAGATGCCGTTCCCCATCGACCAAGATTTCTACGTCTCCCCGACCTTCCAGGACCTCCTGAACCGCACTAGGGCAGGCCAGCCCACGGGCTGGTACAAGGATCTCCGCCATTACTACTACCGGGAACGCTGGGAACTCTATGATGTCAGCCAGGACCCCCAAGAGACTCGGAACCTGGCCGCCAACCCAGACTTCGCTCAAGTGCTGGAGATGCTGAAGTCTCGGCTCGTCAAGTGGCAGTGGGACACACACGACCCCTGGGTGTGCGCCCCTGATGGGGTCCTGGAGGAAAAGCTCACGCCTCAGTGCCGACCTCTTCACAATGAGCTCTGACAGTCCCTGGGGCACTGGCCAGCCCACCTGGACATGAAGAGAGGGAGCAATGGAGCCAGTGCCAGCAGCCACACCCTCTACACCCATCCGAGGAGGTCCCCTCTACCAGGGGATGTCACTCCTGCTCCTGTAGATGACACTCAAACACTCTCTAGTTGCTGCCATACCAAGGACACTGCTGTCCTCATGTCTGCCTGTCCTGGCTCAGGAGTTGTAGGGGAGCTTGGGCATGGCAGAACTCCAAGCTTTGATAGGTGAGTTTGGAGATGAGCAGGTGGAGAAGCAGGGTCTGGGGCTTGAAGCCCTCTGGTTTCGGGAACCCGGGATGTTTTCAAGCCCTTCACCCTAAGAGGAGGCCAGGCTTCTGGTTGCCACATGGGCAACTGGCAGACCGCACTGACGACTTCAACCAACCTTGGCCTGGAGCGAGCGCTCAGTGGGCCTTGAGCTTGCTTCTGCCTCCATGCCTACTCCCGGGAGGTACAAGCTTAGGCAGGTTTCATGCTGGTTCTCCGAGGGGTGAGTTTGATCCTGTGGTCTGTCTGGGCTCAGCTTGTCCTTTCTGAGGGTGACTAAGGAGGACAGGGTGTGACAGTTTCCCCCCTTTCCCCCCCGTCTCCTTTCATTCTCTCTGAGAGACACCAAGCACCTGACCTGGTTCTAGCTTTTCCCTGCCTTCACTTGCCAAGGGACAGAGCACAGCCTAGAAATCTAGAAAGAGAGGGACTGACCCCTCTGCCCCTCTATCAACTCTGTCTTGGGAGGGAATGAGTGTCATGGGCCTTAGCATCAGAAAACCTTTTTACAGCAGTATAATCGTTCACAGAACTTTATAGTAGCACACTGGATCTTAGGCACCGAGACACAAACACCCTCTCAAAATGACTCCGTTTATGGCTAGGTGGGGGCTTCACCCAAGTGTGGCATGATGCACCCAGAGAAGGACCAGGAAGTAATGTCAGTTTGAGAGCGAGTCCTTTGTTCACTGGTGTTTGGGGCTGGGCACAGAGGCAGTGAATCAAAGAGACACTCAAGTCTGTCCACTGTGGCACCTTCGTGTGCAGGTGTGTTGCAGCACTTGGCTGTTAGCAGCTGAGTCAGCCACTCCCATGGCGCTCCAGAGTGCCCCTGCCCTGGGCAGGAAGGACTGCTCCAGTGAGCTTCCAAGGTTCATTTGAAAGGAGGGGACAGATCCACAAAGCTACTCCTGTTATCACAGGAGGTTGGGGTACTGGCTCTGAGCAGTTCTCAGGGAGCACTCCCTCATGGCAGAATATTCTCCAGTCCTCCATCAGCCCAGGCCATGCGGTGTCAAGATGGCTTCATCATTTACACCTTGATTTCTGAGAGCACCTGAGATCAGACTCCGACCAGAGAAGGAAGTGGGGTTGTTTGCTGACAGTATTAACAGACACATGGAGGTCCCCACAGTCTCAATCCAGGTCTGGGCTTCAGCAGGGGCTCTCTGTCCACACCACCTTCTTCTGCTCATCTGCAATGGCCAGGCGCACACAGCTGAGCAGGCTGTCCAGGTCACTCCAGCTGTCGGGGGCCAGGCTGCTGTACAGACACGGCACTCTGTCCAGTTCCCCTTCCTCCTGCTGGGCCACCTCCAGGAACTGCTCCTCTGAGCTGCCAAACCGCTGCAGGCCCTTCCTGCAAAGTAGAGATGTTCAGCCCGAGTGCAGCAAGGCAGCCAGGGAAGCACACAGTTGGCTTTAGTACAGAGCACTGTAGGTGTCCAGGCCAGAGACTGTAGAAGACTCAGAATGCACCCTCGGGTGCGACTATGGGAGTCCTATCCAGGGAAGCTCATGAAGGAGGTAGGACTTGGCTACAAGCAGCATTCACTGATAGGGTGTGCCGAGCAAATTGCACTTCCCAGAGGATACGGGCAGTGGGATGTTTGTCCCAGCCAGACACCAAGTGATGGGGCAGGACTAGGCTTCATGGGCCTCAGGTACTGTGCAGCTTTAGTGTAGCTGGGGCAGGGGACAGGTTCGCTCCTGAGGGAGAGCAAGCTGGGCCTCTGGCCTGAGGTTGTGAGGACACGACTGGGGTTAGAACTTAGAGAGCTCTGGTGGCACGTGACAAGCTCTTCCTGTTTAGGCCCCGCTGCCCACTCCGCTGCCCAGCTCTCACCAGATAACTACCTGAGTTTCTTTGCCGTCTTCTCATTGACAGAGACATGGATGATGATGGGAAACATGTCCATCCTGTGTAGGACTCGGACGCTGTCCAGCCGGACATCCAGCAGGGCATGGGTGCTCTTTGGGAGGGCACAGAGAAGGAAGTTAAGCCCCTGGGCCTCCGGTCTGGGAGGAGGTGAGAGGAGCCCGTGCAGCAGAGCACAGGGCTGTGTGGAAGAGACCCGAATAGAGGCAGCGTGGCATGTGCCAGGGCGCCTGCTGTAGATCTTAAAGGGTGAAGCCCGTTTGATTTGTCCCTGAGGAAACGTGGATTTGCAAGCCTTTGGCATTGAGGTAGATTTTGGATAGAGTGCAAACCTTAAGAATCAGACAGTGCCAGCTGTCACCCTTCGTGTGTGAGCGTGCTCATGCATGTGTGTGCATGTGTGCACGCCTGTGTGTTCCATGTACGTGTGTGTGCGTGCACGTGTGTGTGTGTGTGTGTGTGTGTGTGTGTGTGTGTGTTGTCCTTCCTACTCTTTATGGAAGAGTGAAACTTGACGCTTTACTGAGAGCTGTAAAATGTGAGACTCAATGCCTTCATTCATTAATAGATATTTATCAAACATCCAAAGGGAACTGAGGCCCAAAGGCACACCTGAGGGTGGTTCATCACATGGATCCCAGACGGTGGGAACAGGCTTGGGTCTTTCTGTATCCCTCCTATAGAGCATGAAGCTGCGTATCTAGGGCCCTGCAAGTGACTCCCCAAGCCTGGGCAGGAGCCGCCACCCCCAGAGTAGCCTCTAGACCCTTCCCTTACCGTATTCATGAGGGACTCCACGGCATGCCGGGTGATCCAGTGGTGATCACCTATTGACTCTCCCTCCTGGATGATGTCTCCTCTCTGACTCCAGGTGGCATACTCCTCCTGGCTCAAGTACTCTGATGGTGACATTAGATGAGGGGTCATACACGGGGATCCAGAGGGAACCCTGCTGAGCCCCTCCACACTGGAGGTCTCCCGCCACATCCAGGAGAAGCTTCCCACAGTGGTCACAGAGAAACCTATACCACCTCTGACCATAAGTCCACTAGCACACCCACCCTGACCCTGGGTCCCTAAATTCCAGCGAGCACACCCCCAACCCTGGTCAGGCCTTCTATCTTGCACTGTGCTTTAGAAAGATGTTCAAGGCTCACATGTCAGTGAGCCCTCCCTCCCTGTAGAACCTCAGGCTTCTATGAAACTGGACATCCAACCTCCACTCTCCGCGGCCACCACAGGGGCGGCTCAAGCCCAATGTTCTGTGTGCATTTGAGTATGCCCACTGGCCAGCTGGACCACCTGGCCACCTCCAGCTACAACCTGTCTTCTTTCTGCCCCATCAGCTGGCCCTTCATGTCTCAGTGTCTCTCTCCCTCTCTGGGTAAGTGCAGAGCCTACAGTCTGTGTAGCTTTGTCCCACTGGTTGCCCAGCTGAACACAGGCAGCCAATTCTAGAGGAACTCATGGGCTCTGGGCACTCAGTGCCTTCCACTTTCCCATGGATGCTAGCCAAGGAAGGTGCTTGTTGGAGGAGCCTCGTGGATGGGGCCTGCCTCCTTCTCTCTTCTGAAAGTCAAGAGACTAGGATGGACTCTGTCAGCCCACAGGGTCACCTAGTCCTGTCAGCCTTTCCTGAGCCCATGGGCCTGTGGATCAGAAAGCACTTTTGCTGGGCAGTGGTGGTGCACACCTTTAATCCCAGCACTTGGGAGGCAGAGACAGGTGGATTTCTGAGTTTGAGGCCAGCCTGGTCTACAGAGTGAGTTCTAGGATATCCAGGACTACACAGAGAAACCTTGTCTCAAAGAACCCAAAATAAATAAATAAATAAATAAATAAATAAATAAAATAAATACGAAGCTGCCTTGTGGATAGTAAATTGACAGAACCCTCGAGCCATGCTACCCTGCTGAGTACATCTGTTTTCTACGTGCCAATGTTGGAGGGAGGAGTAATGACCCACCTCTCTCATGCCCATAAGAACCCAGAATGGATTTTCTTTGGAAATAGGGTCTCTATGTGACAGTGGACCCTAAGAAGGTCATGTATAAACAAAGACACAGAAGGAAGAGGGCAGTGATGACCAAAGGCAAGTCAGGGGTGTGGACTTCCCACACGCCTAAGGTGCTAGAAGAGCCAGGAAGGACCCACACCTGCAGCCCCCAGCGAGCAAGGCCCTGCTGAGGCCCTGAGGTCAGACATCCTGGGAACCACGAGACAGTCATCACCATTCAGCGTCCCAGTTTGTGGACCTCGGTTATGGTATCTCTGGATTTAGGGTCACCTGCTCTGGCCACTGGACAGAGGAGCACATACCTGCTGAACACTGCTTAAAACCATGGAGGAGACACAGCTTTTTGCCCAGGATCTTCCCGACTACTCTGGGCACAAAAAGCACAGGCCGGGGCCGGACAGGCCTGTGGGGGTGCACCAGGGTGTACGGTGCCAGGGTGAAGCAGCTTTCTGCCCAGAAGCACACACTGGGACCATCTGCAGAGGACAGAGCCTGTGAATACCTCCTACCTGTGTCCCTGCCCCCTCTCTCCCAGGAGACACTGGTGGGGGACATTCTCAGCTTCAGTGCTGCTAACTGCATGCTGGCACAGCTGCTACAGCACTCACAGCTCTTCAGGGTGAGCCTCTGAGGATAGGTGGAGCCTGGTTCCTCCTGAAGGGTTGTGGGGGCCCTGCCTTTCACCCACCCCACCCCCCTCCTCACCCTTGCCTTCCATTCATTCTTGCCCCTCAGGCCATAAGGTCCTCAGCCTCCTCCCTCCTGATCCCTGGGGTGGGTATGTATGTATGTATGTATGTATGTGTGTGTGTGTGTGTGTGTGTGTATGTATGTATGTATGTGTGCATCAATGCTTGCAGAGGCTAGAAGACAGCATTGGATCTTGTATAACCTGGAGTTATAGGTGGTTATAAGCTGGTGAATTTAGGTGTTGTCACCAAACCTGGGCCCTCTACACGGGCAGTAAGTGGTTTTTTTTTTTTTAATTTTTTAAAAATTTTATTTATTTATTTATTTATTTATTTAATGAGCACACTGTAGCTGTCTTCAGACACACGAGAAGAGGGCATCAGATCCCATTACAGATGGTTGCGAGCCACCATGTGGTTGCTGGGATTTGAACTCAGAACCTCTGGAAGAGCAGTCAGTGCTCTTAACCACTGAGCCAACTCTCCAGCCCACAGTAAGTGTTCTTAACAGCAGAGCCATCTCCTCAGCCCCAGTACCCATCTTAGATTATGCACCCGAAATATCTTAAAGAAAATGAATTATTTCTCTTCTACCAGATTCACTTCTGATTAACTTCATTCTGGAGTTTTTACCCCTGGGGCCGACACCAGTCAGACCTCTAGCATGACCGTGTATGACCGTGTGCGTACACTGATCACCTAGTGTCCTTCCTTACAGAATGCTGGGCGTTTGGTAGCTTTTACTGTTCCTGCACACATTTGCGGGCTGGTAGCTTTTGTATAATTTCACTAGGTCAGGCCTCAGAGTGGGGCATGGCCATTTAGAAGACATTGTGTTGCTCAAGTTGTTGTTCAGAAGGCGGGGAGATATTCATTATGATCGTAAGCAGCAGCCTGGGGTGGGGTGGGAGGATGTCGGAGAGATGGTTTAGCTGTTAAGAGCACTGGCTGCTCTTCCACAGAAACCTGGGTTCAATTCCAATTATGCACTTAGTGACACACAGCCACCTGTAACTCAATCCCAAGGGATCTGCTGCCCTCTTCTGGCCTCCGGGGGTACTGTATAAGTATAGTATACATACATACATACGTATGTACGTGCATGCATGCATGCAAAACATCTATACAAACAAACAACAACCCCTGGGCTGAGTGAGAGACACTACCTTGGTGGTACTGCCTAGAAGTGACCCCCCGCAATGCCCACATGGTCTCTATGCCAACTGGCCAGGCCTTACCTTCCTCCCTGCCAGAATCCCACTGGTTTTGGTCAAAAGATGAAATCAGAGGACTGACAGTGGCTTTGTCCACACTGACAATCCGTACTAACTTCTGTGGCCTTCCAGGAGGCTGTCACAGGGGAAACAGGGAGACAGAAAAGAGAAGAGACTCAGCCATTGGCACTGGGTTTGGAGCTTGACACCCCCTCCCTACTTCAGCACCCTGCCACATAAGCAAATCCGGAACAGTCTCTGAACAATCAGGCTGTGCCATGGAGCAACCGGGCTTCCCAGGCCCTACACCAGGGGTGAGAGGCAGGGGAGGGGCCTCAGGCAGCAGGGCTCTGCAGGGAGGCGTAGGGTGCAAAAGGCAGAGAGAAGAGCAGGCCCTCTCCCAATTTAGCATTGCTGTGCTCCAGGCAGGACTATCCTAGCACCTTGCTCAGGGACAGGTGTGTGCTCAAAGTGAAAGGTGATCTGTGTCCCAAGAGAACAAGGTGCCCGACCTCAGAGGAGACAAGAACAGGGAGGTGAGTCGGTGACAGGAGACTGGGAGAGTGAGGAAGAGCAGGGGGCCTCTAAGGAGGCCTCTCTGAGATCGGGCCTGGTGTGTTTACATGGTCCATTCCAAGGGCCTGCAGGCCCACAGGGCTTGGTGGGGAACACAGGATCCAAATACTGCCCTGCTCAGCTCAGTGGTCCACCCCCCCACACCCCCCACATACACAGGATTCCACAGTACCCTACTCCCTTCCAGCCCACCCCGGGGGACCATACCCTTCTGCCAGAGCCTCACCTTGCGGGGGACTGAGCGCCGTTGAGTCATGTCCTGGATGAGGGCCAGGAGCTGTTGCTGAGCCCTGAGAAAATGGAGGAAGAGAGGCTCTGACAGTCTGACTGAGCCTTCTCAAGGCCAAGAATATCCATAGACAGGGAGCAGGAGTGCTCCCACCCTGGGGTGCATAGACTCCTCAGGCCAGGCTGGGGCATGCTAATTTAATTGTCCTATACTGGTCCCAGTGGGGGCTAATGGGCAGCCAGGGCATATAACAGAGAGGCACCTACCACCAGCAGACCCCATGCATTCAAGTGAATCTTTCCTCCGCTCTTTATTATTGGGCAGGCGCTCTGCTATAGAGCAGGGGAGATTCTGGAAGGTGGAGAGACCTCAACATGGAGCCGAGACAGGCAGACGTTATCCTTGGGACATCTGTGGGGTCACATAGAGCCAGCAGCAGCTACTCACTGTGAATAGTTAGGGATGGTGCCGGGCTCCATGTCTTTCATGGTGTATGGGTTCACACGATGGGCGTGCCAGCAGCTGCGGCCTTGGAACATGGTGTCCGTGACATGCAGGATATCGTTGCAGTGAGTATGCAGCTCTCCTTCCCCTCTCCTCTGCATGGCCAGGTTGACACGGATGTAGAATGAATCCCCAGACGTTACTACTTTGGCATCTAGGTCCTGGATGAGGTTCTTATAACCTGATAATAGAAGATGTCAGTGACTGATGATCCCAGACCTCTGAACTTACACAAGGAAGGTTCTAGAATGTGGAAATGGGAGGGAAAAGTCATGGAAGCCACCCAGTGGGATGAAGAGAAGTTTCCAGTTCTTTGGAGTCTGGGGAATTCAGGAGAACCTGGCTGAACTACCTTGGTTCTTGGTAGGCCTGGTTTCTGGGGTGCAGCAGGGTCACAGGAGGGGGCTGAGTGCTGAGCAGGTGTGGGGGGTGGTATCTGTACCTTCAGTGTTGATCTTCACAGACAGGTAGCAAGAGCCATTCACCCTCCTGAGAAGGCCCACGGCCTGCTCCAGCGTTGTGTTCTCCAGAGTGGCCCTTAATGATGGCTTGGTAGGCTTATAGTCCACCTGAGGGCAAAGTTTGAAGGTGGGCTTCTCACCAAGACAGTATGGCAGCTGAGATGGGCTGGGGGTGGGAATCTTCAGAGGACCCCTTGGCCTTCCCCAGCCACCCACATATCTTCTCCTCTCATGGCCTATCAGAATCCCTTATCACAAGCTTGTGTGTAGTGGAGTGAGAATTCTGGAATATTCTTATATTTCTCACAGAAATATAAGAATGTGTTTTTGTTTTCATCCCAGGTGTGGGGGTGTGGGGCTGCTTCAGACTGTCCACAGCAGCTGACTGGGATTTGCCTCGTGCTCTAGGAAAAGCATGGTTTTGCCAGCTGTTGCAGATAGTATCTGCAGTTGTGTGATGTTTGGAATTCTGGAAACTTTTCAGAGAGTATATAAAGATTAGAGCCCCGATATCAGGGGGGCTGGTTGGGGTTTGTTAGTAGTCATGCTCAAAGAAGAAACAAAAGGAAAGAAATTACATTCAGATCTCTCTCTCTCTCTCCCTCTCTCCTTGTTTCTCTCCTATCTACTGTTACGGTGTGAAATCTGGAGGATGAAGGGTGGGGAAAAGAAGAACCCACAAAGTAGCAAAGACAGCTACAATGTAGGGACAGTGTTGTTACACATGTACATTC